CAGTGCTCGGGGCTTAGACAGCACAGAGAGCTGTCTGACCACACCTTCGCCTAGCAGCTGAGCAAGGGGGATGTTGCTCCTGCAGCACCTGGGCCGCCCTCCCACAGCATCCCCCCGGGCAGTCCCCCCACCCGCCTCAAGTTTTAGTCTGGGGCATATAGTAAAAATTATGGACAGGTCACGGGCTGTGAATTTTTGTTTACTACCTCTGACCTGTCTGTCACTTTTACTAAAAACACACTGACTAAAACTTAGCCTTATGCACTATTGAAAACGAGTAAGGGAACAAAAGGGAAGAAGGCAGATCCGGGGAACTACAGGCCAGTCAGCCTCACCTCAATCCCTGGAAAAATCATGGAGCAGGTCCTCAAGGAATCAGTTCTGAAGCCCTTAGAGAAGAGGAAAGTGATCAGGAACAGTCAGCATGGATTCACCAAAGGCAAGTCATGCCTGACTAATCTAATTGCCTATGACGAGATACCTGGCTCTGTGGATGAGGGGAAAGCAGTGGACGTGTTGTTCCTTGACTTTAGCAAAGCTTTTAATACGGTCTCCCACAGTATTCTTGTCAGCAAGTTAAAGAAGTATGGACTGGATGAATGGACTATAAGGTGGATAGAAAGTTGGCTAGATCGTCGGGCTCAACGGGTAGTGATCAATGGCTCCATGTCTAGTTGGCAGCCGGTATCAAGCGGAGTGCCCCAAGGGTCGGTCCTGGGGCCGGTTTTGTTCAATATCTTCATAAATGATATGGAGGATGGTGTGGACTGCACCCTCAGTAAGTTTGCAGATGACACTAAACTGGGAGGAGAGGTGGATACGCTGGAGGGTAGGGATAGGATACAGAGGGCCCTAAACAAATTCGAGGATTGGGCCAAAAAAATCTGATGAGGTTCAACAAGGACAAGTGCAGAGTCCTGCACTTAGGAAGGAAGAATCCCATGCACCGCTACAGACTAGGGACTGAGCAGCTCGGCAGCAGTTCTGCAGAAAAGGACCTAGGGGTTACAGTGGACGAGAAGCTGGATATGAGTCAGCAGTGTGCTCTTGTTGCCAAGAAGACTAACGGCATTTTGGGCTGTATAAGTAGGGGCATTGCCAGCAGATCTATGGACGTGATCGTTCCCCTCTATTCGACCTGGTGTTCTGTGTCCAGTTTTGGGCCCCACACTACAAGAAGAATGTGGAAAAATTGGAAAGCGTCCAGCGGAGGGCAACAAAAATGATTAGGGGACTGGAACACATGACTTATGCGGAGAGGCTGAGGGAACTGGGATTGTTTAGTCTCCGGAAGAGAAGAGTGAGGGGGGATTTGATAGCTGCTTTCAACTACCTGAAAGGGGATTCCAAAGAGGATGGCTCTAAACTGTTCTCAGTGGTGGCAGATGACAAAACAAGGAGTAATGGTCTCAAGTTGCAATGGGGGAGGTTTAGGTTGGATATTAGGAAAAACTTTTTCACTAGAAGGGTGGTGAAGCACTGGAATGCGTTACCTAGGGAGGTGGTGGAATCTCTGTCCTTTGAGGTTTTTAAGGTCAGGCTTGACAAAGCCCTGGCTGGGATGATTTAGTTGGGATTGGTCCTGCTTTGAGCAGGGGGTTGCACTAGATGACCTCCTGAGGTCCCTTCCAACCCTGATATTCTATGATTCTATGGTAACAGCAGGTTTTCAATTACATATCAGAATTTGCTTTTATTTAGCCCCTTTCATACTTGAGTTACTTCAAAATGCTTTTCCAGTAATGTATTGTTCTGTAATGCAATGACTGTAGACTTTATGTGCTCACCAACTACCAACCAATTGAATGTTATCGTTGAATGTTATTTTCTGGTTATGGAAAGACCATTGGACAGGACACTAGAATTATCCCTTATTGTCAGAAAGCGCCAGAGGATCTTTCATTTTCACCTGGAGTGACCCCAGAGTTGGGCAGAAGAGTCTTCAATTTAAAGAATCCAAAAGGACCTTCCAACTGGTTAGCCATCCTTGCTTCACTGCATTGTCATCATTGGATAGAAGTCCATGTCCTAGTGGACACCTTCTCCTGAAGAGCATTCATTCCTTTTCCCCTTTGATAGAGCTCAGACACAGAGTAAAAATCCAAAATCAGTCCAAAAATACAGTAGTCATGTTATCACAATCTATGCTGTAATTTTTTTTAAAGGATGTACAGATACCCTTTGTAAGCATTGCTTGTGGATAGCCTCAAAGCGGCTATGGGAAAAGACAGCCCTAAGAGCTCAAAGAACTGTCACATGAAACAGTACCATAAAATTGGACAATGGCTACCCCAACAGCCACTTATGGAAGGTTTGAATCGAGAGAGTGCATTATATAAAAGTAGAATTCGTGACAAAGCAAGGTTATTATGGGGTCCAATTAGTTCAAAGTTTAGGTTTCTGATCCACAGTTGAGGTTTGTGGTGGCAATGCGTATGGCAGTAAGCCAAGGGTTCTTCACCTAGTGGTTAAGAACATGGTACCAGATTGCAAAAAGGGAGTAAGGACTGGTCTATGGGGGAATGAGTCCTGATATGGAAAAGATTTTGAACCATTATCAACCATTTTGTGGAGGTGCCAAGAGCAGTAACCATGAGCAAGTATGCTGAGCTGATTCAGGGGTCCTTTAATGGCACCTAGGAGTGCCTTGTAGACAATGCTTGCCTCTTACATAGATCCTGGGTTACAACAGACTATTGGTACAGCAAGTGAGAGAATTTACCAAGGTCCCTCTAGCACAGGGGTTCTCACAACAAATTTTTTGGTGGCCTCAGAGTGTGGCCACCAACTCTCACTGGTGGCTGCACTGACAATTTTTTCCTAAAATAATTAATTTTAGAAAAAATTAAATATGCACAGATTCACATCCCAATCATAGAATCATAGAATATCAGGGTTGGAAGGGACCCCTGAAGGTCATCTAGTCCAACCCCCTGCTCGAAGCAGGACCAATTCCCAGTTAAATCATCCAGCCAGGGCTTTGTCAAGCCTGACCTTAAAAACCTCTAAGGAAGGAGATTCCACCACCTCCCTAGGTAACGCATTCCAGTGTTTCACCACCCTCTTAGTGAAAAAGTTTTTCCTAATATCCAACCTAAACCTCCCCCACTGCAACTTGAGACCATTACTCCTCGTTCTGTCATCTGCTACCATTGAGAACAGTCTAGTTCAGAACCATTGAAAGACAAACACATAGTACACAGATGACCAGATAAGAAAAAGAATCAAAATGGACATTCAGGGTATGCCTACACTGAGACTAGACACCTCTGGCTGGCCCATGCTAACTGACTCAGACTAAGGGGCGGTTTAATTGTGGTGTAGACATTTGAGTTTGCGACCTCTGGGACCCTCCCACCTCTCAGGGACCTAGAGTCTGGGCTCCAGCCCAAGCACAGATGTCTACTCTCCAGTTAAACAGCCCCCTTAGCCTGAGCCAGCTGGCAGCACAGGCCAGCCATGGGTTTTTAATTGCAGTGTGGCCATGCCCTCTGGGCCTCCTCTGAAACCCACTGAGTTAACAGCAGACATTCCATGGCCTTCAGTGGTGTCCGGAACAGGCTCTGACAGAGAAACTGAAGCAACCAGAAGCTGCTGCAAAGAATCATGTTGCAGTTGCCAAATATTAGCTTAATCTTCAAAATCTTAACCACATTTGGATTCTTGCATATTCATTCACTAGACCTCTGATAGGATAACCCTCTCAAGTTATGGGAGTGGAGGAAGCCCAGCCTCAGTTGGCCTGAACTTATTTTACGCTTGTGCACATGGTGTTTGCCAAATAATATTAAAGATTGATCATTCATGTTTGAAAATCCATAATTTAGCCGATGTGACAAAAGTGCTGCTAAGATTGCAGCTTTCCAAACAACCTGTCGCCTTATTTGAAGGGGAAGTCGACTGAACCTTCCAAGAGCTTCCTCTAGCCACACTTTCCAGGAAGTAAATGTTGGCATGTTAATAATTAACTGTTGAATATGGAAACATTACAAATGCTAATAAAACCATCAGCTTTTCCTAATGTCCTGACACAAATCATGCAAATATTTAACCCTACACCATCCTCTCCTTCCTATGCCTATACAATGGAGGGGACACAGGACATGTACACCGAGGAAAACAAATTTCAGACCAGTACTCAAGTGACCTCAGGTTCTTAATTTGCTGAAGGGTAGAAGGCAGACAGTGTATTTCTCAGCTCTCATGGGTAGTATTGTCTAGTGGTCTGGAGTTAGGGCCTGGGAGCCAGAACCTTTCAGTTCTAGTCTCACCCTGACACTGATTGGCCGAGTGACTTTGGGCATGTCACTTAACTTCTCTGCATCTGTCTTTTGCCTCGTGTCACTTACCAAGGCACATGAGATCTGCTGGAATGACCTTGTTTACCATCCCAAAGTTCAATCTGGATCAGAACAGGGACATTACTAAGCAACATGCCCAAAGACCCTGGACACAGCAGCCTTTCCAATCCAGAGAAGACTCCATGGTCATTGCTCCCTATGCCCATCAATGTGGCAATGTGCCATGAACTCTTCCCCCTACCCCTCCACGCCAGGGGAAAACAAAGAGAACCATGACTGCACCACCCTGTGATAGCCACAGCGTTAGCCACCACACACTTTGTGCTACATGTTTTGTAACAGGAATGAAACACTGTTATATGTATTTAATATGCCATCCTGTAGGTTTATTGTTTCCATATTTATAAGCATGGGTCATACTTAAGGCTAAGATTTTGTCATGGATCTTTTTAGTAAAAGTCAGGGACAGGTCACCGGCTTCGGTGAATTTTTCTTTATTGCCCGTGACCTGTCCCTGACTTTTACTAAAAAGATCCATCACAAAATGGGGAGCCACTGAGCAGCTGCGGGGGCCTGGCAGGGAGCTCCGGGGTCCCCCAGCACCATGAGGGCTTGGAGCTCCAGGTTCTCCCTCCCTCTCAGCCCTGAGCTGTGGGGTCTCCCACCACCAGAGGCCAGGAGCTGCAGGGGCCAGCCAGGAGTTGTAGAGTTCCCCCTTGCCCCTGGCTGCTCAGAGCCCTCTGGCACCCGCAGCGGCAAGAAGCTGCGGGGTCCCTCCTGCTGCCTACAGTGGCTGGGAGCTTCCGGGTCCGCCCCACTGCCTTGGGTGGCAGGGGTACCTTGTAGCTTCCAGCAGGTAAAGTCATGGAGGTCTTCCGAAGTCTGTGACTTCTGCGACCTCCATGATAAAATTGTAGCCTTAGTCATATTTTTACAGTGCTGCTAAACTGTTTTTAACTTGTATATTTGCACTTTGTTTCCTGTCTCTTTGCACACAATAAAATTATATTTTTGGAAACTCTGAGAATATTTATTAGTTTATACTAAGCATAAATGAGACATTACAAAGTTGATTATGGGAGTCAGTAACCTTGACATATTTAAGATCTTTACACACCAGGCTCACTAATTCATAAAAGTATCACACAACACTACTATAGCTGACTGTTAAATGCTCTTTTTAGGCCTTCCTTAGCTGTACAGCTCCACGGTTGGCTTTTCTAACAGCTGTTGTGTACTGTGGAGAAGGAGATGCTTAATGGCATTGCACACTTGGATGAGACTGGCCCTCACTGTGGATTTTCTGGACTGACTGCTCACTGACTCTTAGCAATCTGGTGTCGCAAGCTTCCAAGGTGTGATCGCCACTTGCTTCTCCACTGTCCATGCAGCTCTCTTTTGGTGTTCATGCGCTGGGATGAGCTCGGCACACAGATCCAGGAATATGGCCTTGTGCATGCGAAAGTTCTGCAGCCACTGCTCATCATCCCAAACCTGCATTACGATGCAGCCCCACCAGTCAGTGCTCTTTTCTCCACCCCAGAAGCGCCAAACCCCATGGAGATGTTCTGTGAATGCCAACAGCAACCGAACGTTTTTATCTGCAGCATCCACCAGCACCCAGTCATCACCCTCAGATCTCTCTTCTTCTTCCAACGATTGCTTATGTGCAGTCCGCAGTAGGTGTGCGTGCTCGCCACGTGCACTGCCGCCAGATTTTCCCCTGAGCAGGACCCACAGGGGAGCGGCCCTAGCGACCCCTGGAGTGGCGCCTCTAGGCGCGGTATCAGGGACCCTGCACACCCCCCCCACCCTCAGCTCCTTCCTGCCGCCAGTGAAGGTGCATTGGAACTGCTCTGCTCCAGCTCATCTGCAGCTTTCCTCTTGAACTCCTGTTCGTTCATAGTTAGTAGTACCTTTAGTTAAAGTAGTTTAGATTAGGGTTAGTTTATTGTAGTGTACCCGGGTCGGGGCATGCCCCATGCCCCGGGCTTTAAGTCATGAGACACTTGCAGGTGGCCGATGCCAGTGAGTGACCCGCATGCAGACTGTTTACGCTGTCTGGGGGAAACCCACCTCAGCGGTCGGTGCGAGATTTGCAGATCTTTCAAGCCTTGGACCAAAAAGGAAAGGGAAATTTGGCTCTGAGCCATTCTGATGGAGTCAGTGTTGACCCCGACTCCGGTGCGCCGCTCTGGTGTGCCGGTGTTGGTGCGTGGCAACCCTTCAGTGCCTTCCACCAGTTGGCACCTCTCCCCATCCGCAGGGCACGCCAAGAAGGCTAAGAAGAGGACTTTTCCACCGAGAGACCGGAGCAAGACCGGGGGAGAGACTAGACCCATGCTGGGCAGTTCTCGGTCCCTGTCGGCCTCCAGGCCTCCGACTCGAGTTGAGCAGAGTAGCCCAGCCCACTCGGCGCAGGCCTCCCCAGATGTCTGGGCGCCCTTCACGCACCCAGGCGCTGCAAGCGGCCTGGGATGTTCTGTCTCTGCTGGTACCAGTACCACCACCGTCGTCAGCTCCCCGGTCCAGAGGCAGGCCACCGCTTGGACCCCCACAGTCGCCGCCTGGATGGTACCGTTCGCGGTCGACGGAAGGTTCCCGACGCCGTTCGCTGCTCAGCAACCGCACCGTGCACAGTCCGCGCCGGGCCCTGTCGACCCCCACCAGGCTGTCTGGCTGGGTTCCGACTGACAGGAGCTCCAGGCCCCGTTGAGACCAAGACAGACGGCACCGGAGGTCCTCGTCTCCAAGAGGCTACTGTAGCCCGTCGCGATACGGGAGTCAATGCCATTCCCGTTCTTCGTCTCGCTCCAGGACCCCGCAGCTGCGCCGCTCCCACTGTCCCGGCGTCGATCGCTGGCTCCTCGCTGTCGCGGATCCGCCTGCCGGAGCCAATTGCAGAGCAGCTGCCATCGGTGGCACCGTTCCTCCACGTCGGGATCATGGTCTTGTGCTCAGCACCGTCCCCGAGGCCACCTCTCCTCCCAGTCCACGGACAGCGGCAGGCGTTCCCCAGCCCAGCCTCCCTTCATAGTCTTCAGACGACGGGCAGGCTGGGCAGGCTACACAGGCGGCCCCACCGCTGCCGCAGCAGGTGCAGGGGCACTGAGCTCCGGGCCAGCACCGTGGCACCAATGGGCCCCGTGGCCCCCGGCGCAGCCCCCGGCGGGGCTCGCTCAGTAGCCGGAGCCTCGGAAAGACCGTCGGCCTCCCTTTCCCAGCCTCCCAGGAAGGAGTCGGTGGGGCGTGCATCTTCGGATCCGTGCCCGGAGGGCGACCAAGCGGTGGAACCTCCAGTGCTGGTGGGTACGGAGAGTACCGCACCCGCATCCTCATCCTCCCCTGATGAGGCGATTATGGCCCCTCCCCCCTCCATTCCACGCGAGGACTCCAAGGCCCACCAGGAACTACTGAAAAGGGTGGCATCGAGCCTCAACCTTCAGGCTGAGGAGGAGGAGGAACCCTCGGACTCCCTATTCAATGTCCTCTCGGCCTCGGCATCGGGCAGGGTGGCCCTCCCACTCCACGAAGGGGTGGCAAAAATTTCAAACGCCTAGTGGCAAACCCCGGCTTCCTTGCCCCCCATCTCTAAGAGGGCAGAATGGAAGTACTTTGTGCCCGCCAAGGGGCATGAATACCCGTACACCCACCCTGCCCCTAATTCCCTGGTGGTCAAGTCAGTCAACCACAGGGAGAGGCAGGGCCAACCAGCCCCTACCCTGAAAAATAAAGGCTCAAGGAGGCTGGACTTGTTTGGGAGAAAGGTTTGTTCGTCCTCGAGCTTCCAGTTGTGACAAACCATCAGGCTCTTCTGGGTCTTTATGAGTTCAATTTGTGGGGCTCTCTATCCAAATTTGAGGACTCCTTCCAGGAGCGTGACAAGAAGGAGTTCAAAGCTCTGGTGGAGGAGGGTACAGTGGCTGCCAGGGCAACCCTGGAGGCAGCACTGGATGCCGCGGATACGGCTGCAAGGTCTATGGCCTCTGCGGTGCCCATGAGGAGGGCGTTGTGGCTCCTGCTGTCGGGCTGTGCAGTGAGGGGCAGAACTCCTTACAGGACCTTCCGTTTAATGGCAAGCCCCTGCCTGTGGAACACACGGACGTGAAATTGCACGGACTGAAAGATTCCCGGACGATGCTTAAGACACTTGGCCTCTATGTCCCGGCTCTGGCCAGGACCAAGTTTAAGCTGCAGCAGGCTCCCACCCAGGCCACCCACTCTAAATACGAGCCCCTCTATAAAAAGTCTCGGGACTATAAGAAACGCCTGCAGAGGCAGTCCCAGTCTGCCCCCCAGCCTGGCCCCTCCAAGGGTAAACAGGCAGGGAAACGTCAGTTTTGACGGGACGCTTGGGGGCAACTTACCAGTTCATACCAGGGATCCACCTGCAATCAAGTTTCCCTTCTCCAGCTGGTTGTGTGCTTTTCTCTTAGAGTGGTCGCGGCTGACTTCGAACTGTTGGGTCCTCAACACCGTCTCCTTCAGTTTACCTCTACCCCACCCAACCACCCTCCTCCCCATCCCTCCTGGGGGACCCCTCTCATGAGGCCCTTCTCGAGCAGGAGGTGGAGCAGCTCCTTGGCTTGGGAGCGGTGCCAGCGGAGTTCATGGGCAAGGGGTTCTACTCCCGCTACTTCCTTATCCCGAAGGCCAAAGGGGGGCTCAGGCCCATCCTGGTCCTGCGAGGCCTGAACCAGTACGTGGTGAAGCTCAAGTTCTGCATGGTCTTCCTGGTCTCCATCATCCCCTCCCTGGATCCCTGGGACTGGTACAGCGCCCTCGATCTGCAGGACGCGTACTTCCACATTCATATATTCGAGGGGCACAGATGCTTCCTCCGTTTCACGGTGGGGCAGGAGCATTACCAATTTATGGTCCTCCTGTTTGGCCTGTCCACTGCTCCCAGGGTGTTCACAAAGTGCACGTCTGTGGTGGCGGTCTACCTCAGACATCATGGGGTCCAGATCTTCCCCTACCTGGACAACTGACTGGTCCCAAGGCAACTCCAGGTCGCAGGTGCGGGATCATGTGGAGCTCCTCCTGGCCACGTGTGCCACCCTGGGCCTGTTGGTAAATGATACCAAGTCCACTGTTAGTCCTGGTACAGCGCATAGAGTTTATTGGGGCAGTCCTTGACGCAACATCGGCCAGGGCCTCCCTCCCACCAGACAGATTCGAGACCCTGAAAGGGCTCGTCGACACAGTCACAAGGTTCCCCAACCACAGCCAGAGCATGCCTCCAGCTCCTGGGTCACATGTCAGCGTGCACATATGTGGTTCACCATGCCAGGCTCAGGATGAGGCCCCTCCAGCTCTGGTTGGCCTCGGTGTTCTCCCAGTCCAGAGACAGGATGGACAAAGTCCTCACGGTGCCCGAGCCGGTGATCACCTCCCTACGGTGGTGGTCCTCCCCGGGGAACATGCTCCACAGGATCCCGTTCAGGGGCTGGCCCCCATCGGTGGAGCTGGTGTCCAACACGTTGGACCTGGGGTGGGGAGCCCATGTGCGGAACGTTCAGACCCAAGGTCTGTGGTCACGCAGGACCTTGCCCTGAATATAAATGTCAAGGAGCTCAGGGTGGTCTGGCTGGCATGCGTTCCACTCGCATCTGGAGGGCAGAGTGGTCATGGTTCTCACGGACAGCACAGCGTCCATGTTCTACATCTACAGGCAAGACGGGGCCCGCTCCTCTGCCCTCTGCCAGGAAGCCCTCAGGCTGTGGGACTTCTGCACAGCCCACGGCATTCGCCTACAGACCCCCACTTACCGGGTGCCCGGAACTCGTGGGTGGATCGCCTGAGCTGAGATTTGTCCTCTCAGCATGAGTGGTCACTACACCCAGAGGTGGTGGACAGGATTTTCCAAGAGTGGGGTACTCCCCAGGTGGAGCTGTTCACGACTTGGCAGAACCACCTGTGTCCCTGTTTCTGCACCAGGGGAGGGCTGGGAGTGGGCGCCATCTCCGATGTCTTCCTCCTATCCTGGTCGGTCCAGCTCCTCTATGCCTTCCCCCCGATCCCGCCGATCGGCAAGGTCCTGGAAAAGATAAAAACAGACAGGTCCTCCTGATTGCCCTGGCGTGGCCCAGGCAACATTGTTACGGGACCCCCATCAGCCTGGCAGTCATCCCGCCATGGCCACTGCCATCCCGCCTGGACCTAATCTCTCAGGACCAGGGCCGCCTTCTCCATCTCAACCTAGTGGCACTCCACCTCACAGTGTGGCTGCTCAATGGGTAGGCCGGGAGGAAAGGACGTGCTCGGAAGGGGTTCAGCATGTCCCTCTGGAAAGCAGGTGGCCCTACACGTGTCGGGCCTACTTGGCGAAGTGGTCTCGGTTTTCCTGGTGGGTGGCTGAGAAGGGCATTTCGCCTGTGGCTGCTTTGAGCCAACTCATTTTAGACTACCTCCTTCATCCTAGAGCTCAAGGTCTAGCGCCCTTGTCCATCAAGGTGCACTTGGTGGCAATATCGGCCTTCCACCCGCTGGTGCAGGGGCACCTAGTATTCTCCCATGCTATGACTGGCCGATTCCTTCAGGGATTGGATCATCTCTTCCCATATGTTAGGCCCTCAGTGGGACCTGAACTCAGTGCTGGCCCGATTGATGGGTTCCCCCTTTTGAGTTGCTAGCTACATGCTCCTGGTCACACCTCTCGTGGAAGGTAGCCTTCCTGGTGGCGATCATGTCAGCTAGATGGGTTTCGGAGCTCAGAGCCCTGACCTCCAAGCCCCCGTACACGGTGTTCCATAAAGTCCAGCTCCATCCGCATCCTTCATTCCTCCCTAAGGTAGTCTCCTCCTATCAAATGGGTCAGGACATCTTCCTGCTGGTCCTCTGTCCCAAGCCCCACGCATCCAGTGAGGAGCACCACCTCCACACACTGGATGTGAGACGGGCCCTGGCCTTTTACCTGGAGCGGACTAAGCTGTTCAGGAAGTCTTTGCAGCTGTTCATAGCCTCGGGCGAACGCAAGAGAGGTCGGCCGATCTCCACTCAGTGCCTCTCCAACTGGATCACCTCATGTATCCATACCCGTTATGACCTGGTGGGAATCCCCACGCTGTTGATTGTGAGGGCACACTCGAGAAGGGCGCAAGCCTCGTTGGCTGCCTTTTTAGCTCATGTCCCCGTTCAGGACATTTGTAGGGCTGCCACATGGTCTTCTCTTCACATGTTCACCTCTCATTATGCGATTGTCTCCCAAACCAGGGAGGACACCGGGTTCGGCAGGGCTGTGCTCCCTCGCAAGAGTCTGTGAACTCCTACCCACCTCCAACAGATATAGCTTGGAATCACCTATTGTGGAATAGAATCATAGAATCATAGAATATCAGGGTTGGAAGGGACCCCAGAAGGTCATCTAGTCCAACCCCCTGCTCAAAGCAGGACCAATTCCCAGTTAAATCATCCCAGCCAGGGCTTTGTCAAGCCTGACCTTAAAAACCTCTAAGGAAGGAGATTCTACCACCTCCCTAGGTAACACATTCCAGTGTTTCACCACCCTCTTAGTGAAAAAGTTTTTCCTAATATCCAACCTAAACCTCCCCCACTGCAACTTGAGACCATTACTCCTCGTTCTGTCATCTGATACCATTGAGAACAGTCTAGAGCCATCCTCTTTGGAACCCCCTTTCAGGTAGTTGAAAGCAGCTATCAAATCCCCCCTCATTCTTCTCTTCTGCAGGCTAAACAATCCCAGCTCCCTCAGCCTCTCCTCATAACTCATGTGTTCCAGACCCCTAATCATTTTTGTTGCCCTTCGCTGGACTCTCTCCAATTTATCCACATCCTTCTTGAAGTGTGGGGCCCAAAACTGGACACAGTACTCCAGATGAGGCCTCACCAATGTCGAATAGAGGGGAACGATCACGTCCCTCGATCTGCTCGCTATGCCCCTACTTATACATCCCAAAATGCCATTGGCCTTCTTGGCAACAAGGGCACACTGCTGACTCATATCCAGCTTCTCGTCCACTGTCACCCCTAGGTCCTTTTCCGCAGAACTGCTGCCTAGCCATTCGGTCCCTAGTCTGTAGCTGTGCATTGGGTTCTTCCGTCCTAAGTGCAGGATCCTGCACTTATCCTTATTGAACCTCATCAGATTTCTTTTGGCCCAATCCTCCAATTTGTCTAGGTCTTTCTGTATCCTATCCCTCCCCTCCAGCGTATCTACCACTCCTCCCAGTTTAGTATCATCCGCAAATTTGCTGAGAGTGCAATCCACACCATCCTCCAGATCATTTATGAAGATATTGAACAAAACCGGCCCCAGGACCGACCCTTGGGGTACTCCACTTGATACCGGCTGCCAACTAGATATGGAGCCATTGATCACTACCCGTTGAGCCCGACAATCTAGCCAGCTTTCTACCCACCTTGTAGTGCATTCATCTAGCCCATACTTCCTTAACTTGCTGACAAGAATACTGTGGGAGACCGTGTCAAAAGCTTTGCTAAAGTCAAGAAACAATACATCCACTGCTTTCCCTTCATCCACAGAACCAGTAATCTCATCATAAAAGGCGATTAGATTAGTCAGGCATGACCTTCCCTTGGTGAATCCATGCTGGCTGTTCCTGATCACTTTCCTCTCATGCAAGTGCTTCAGGATTGATTCTTTGAGGACCTGCTCCATGATTTTTCCAGGGACTGAAGTGAGGCTGACTGGCCTGTAGTTCCCAGGATCCTCCTTCTTCCCTTTTTTAAAGATTGGCACTACATTAGCCTTTTTCCAGTCATCCGGGACTTCCCCGGTTCGCCACGAGTTTTCAAAGATAATGGCCAATGGCTCTGCAATCACAGCCGCCAATTCCTTCAGCACTCTCGGATGCAACTCGTCCGGCCCCATGGACTTGTGCACGTCCAGCTTTTCTAAATAGTCCCTAACCACCTCTATCTCCACAGAGGGCTGGCCATCTCTTCCCCATTTTGTGATGCCCAGCGTAGCAGTCTGGGAGCTGACCTTGTTAGTGAAAACAGAGGCAAAAAAACCATTGAGTACATTAGCTTTTTCCACATCCTCTGTCACTAGTTTGCCTCCCTCATTCAGTAAGGGGCCCACACTTTCCTTGGCTTTCTTCTCGTTGCTAACATACCTGAAGAAACCCTTCTTGTTACTCTTGACATCTCTGGCTAGCTGCAGCTCCAGGTGCGATTTGGCCCTCCTGATAACATTCCTACATATGAGTAATACATATGAGTAATCACTCGAAGAATAAAAGACAGTTACCTTTTCTGATGAAGTGAGCTGTAGCTCACGAAAGCTTATGCTCAAATAAATTGGTTAGTCTCTAAGGTGCCACAAGTACTCCTTTTCCGTAACTGATGTTCTTCGAGATGTGTTGCTCATGTCCATTCCACACCCCGCCCTCCTTCCCCTCTGTCGGAGTTGTCTGGGAAGAAGGAGCTGAGGGTGGGGGGAGCGCGCCACATCCCTTATACCATGCCATGGAGTTGCCACTCCAGGGGTCGCTCCCCTACAGATACTGCTAGGGGAAAAACTTCCGGCACCGGTGCACGTGGCGAGCACACACACCTATTGTTGAATAGACATGAGCAACACATCTCAAAGATCACCAGTTATGGAAAAGGTAACTGTCTTTTCCTCTTCACCCCACCAGTTGCAACAGTACTTGTTGAAATTCCACAAATACAGTAGAATCGAGTGTCTGGTTAAAGAAGTGTATTGGACCTGCCAACAATCCAGCTTTCAGAAATGGAAATATTTTGCTCTCCAGAAGGCTGCTTGTAACAGGTTCCCCAATGTTAAGGTTCGTTCTGGAATGTCTGATTCCTCTGGGTTTAGTGTGCGTTTATAAGCTTGACAAGCCTAACCTGTTCTTTGACTTCAGTTGGGCCTGTGTTAACTGACAAGAATGGTACTTGTCCTGCAATGTCAGGCTTGTATTGTACAGGAATCGCCTCAAATACCCAAGAGAAAACAGAGCTTAAGAAATCAGTGGGTGGAAAGTTTAACTGCAGATATCTGATTGTGACAGGCACCGGCTGTCATTCTGGTCACCAGATCCCCGTGGCTCTCCTGTAACAGGAGACATTTATTTTTGTATTTTACACCAGCTGTATTTTCACACCACGTGAACATTTGTGACACCCTTTTACAATGAAAGGGTTGTTGTGAAAAAAGATGTTAGGGAAGTGTGGCCTGGTGGTCCTGGGTACAGGCCTGGCATCCAGTAACATTTTGGTTCTGGCTTGGACACAAATTCCCTCTACGGTCTAAATCAGGGGTCGGCAACCTTTCAGAAGTGGTGTGCTGAGTCTTCATTTATTCACTTTAATTTAAGGTTTCGTGTGCCAGGAATACATTTTAACCTTTTTTTAGAAGGTCTTTCTCTATAAGTCTATATATAACTAAACTATTGTCGCATGTAAACAAGGTTTTCAAAATGTTTACGAAGCTTCATTTAAAATTACATTAAAATGCTGATCTTATGCCGCCAGCCCGCTCAGCCTGCTGCCAGCCTGGGCTTCCGTTCACCTAGGCCGGCAGGGGACTGAGCGGGGCCTGCGGCCAGGACCCTGGCTGGCAAGGGGCCGGCAGCCAGAACCCCAGACCGGCAGCGGCCTGAGTGGGGCCGGGACCCTAGACCAGCAGTGGGCTGAGCGGGGTCAATGACTGGGACCCCAGACTGGCGGTGGGCTGAGCCACTCAGCCTGCTGCCGGTCTGGGGCTCCATCCGCCGGCTCCTGCCAGCCAGGGTCCTGGCTGCCCGCCCTGCTCAGCCCGCTGCCGCTCTGGGATCCTGGCCCTGCCCACATAGAGTGGGTACCTACCTCCTCCCTGGCTCTAGCCCATTCTCTTCCTCTCTCTCTGCACTGAGCGGAGGATGCGAGTGCACTGAGCACAGGGCTGCGGGTGAAGCAGCAGACTGGGGATTGGGGTGTAGGATCTGGCCAGGAGCTAGAATGAGGGAGGGGGCTCAGGCTTGGGGCAGGAGGTTTGGGTGTGGAGTGCTTACCTGGGCAGCTCCCATTTGGTGCAAGGGGTGCAGGTGGGAATGTGGAGGGGGTGGGTGCAGGAGCTCCCTTTGGTGTTCAGGGTGGGGGTGGGAATGTGGGGGGTGCAAGAGTCAGGGCATGGGGCTGGAGGCATGTGAGGAGGGTGCAGGAGTCAGGGCATGGGGTGTGGGGGGGCTGGGTATGTGTGGGGGTGCTGGAGTCAGGGCTGGGGATGTGAGGGGGTGAAGGGGTCAGGGCAGAGGCCTGGGAGGGTGTGGAGGGGTGAAGAGGTCAGGGCAGATGGCTGGGAGGGTGTGTGAGGAGGGTGCAGGGGTCAGGGCAGATGGCTGGGTGTGCTTGGGGGTTGTAGGGGTCAGGGCAGAGGGCTGGTAGTTTGGGGGGTGCAGGGGTCAGGGTAGAGGGCTGGGGGTGAGGGCTAGGGTCGTGGGGTGCTCCAAGCCCCCTGCCCAGAGCAGCTCACAGCATGGGGCTGGAGGGGATATGCCCTGATTCCACCCGCTTCCCCAAGGTCCCGGAAGCAGAGAGCGCGCTGCGGCTGGCTTCTCCCCGTCCTGGGCCATCAGCTGATCGGGCGGCAGGGAGGGAGTGGAGGAGGGGCAGGACCCCAGCAGGGCGGGGCAAGAGGTGGGGGAAGGAGGGAGCGGGGGAGGGGCAGGACCCCAGCAGGGTGGGGCAAGAGGTGGGGGAAGGAGGGAGCGGGGGAGGGGCAGGACCCCAGCAGGGTGGGGCAAGAGGTGGGGGAAGGAGGGAGCGGGGGAGGGGCAGGACCCCAGCAGGGCGGGGGAAGAGGTGGGGGAGATGGGGAGACCTTGCCTGCCCTCAGCAGCAGCTGCCCCCTCCCGCCCTGACTCCACCCCCATTCCAACCCCTTCCCCAAAGTCCACGCCCCAACTCTGCCCCCGCCCTGCCCCTATTGGACCCCTTCCCCGAGTCCCCCCCCCCGAGTAAGTGCTGGGAGCAAGGGGGGAAAAGCGGCAGGCTCAGGGGAGGAGGCGGAGGTGAGCTGGGGCTGGTGGGGGCGGGGAGCTGCCGGTGGGTGCAAAGCACCCACCCATGTTTCCCCGTGGGTGCTCCAGCCCCAGAGCACCCAGGGAGTCAGCGCCTAGGACAGCTATGGGAGAGTGCTACACCCTGGCGCACAAGGGAAAAACACAAACGTCCCGTCGACCTCCCTGGGCACTGAATCAAGCCCCTTAATGACTGCCTGGCTCCTGAAAGCTCAGAGATGTCATTGCAGAGAGACATCGCTACTGAACCGGCGGGGAGCGTGGCGGCACCGTGAAGACTAACCGACTTCTTTGGGCATAAGCCTTCGTGGGTAAACCCCCCTGCTCCAGACGCCTGGCGCGTCTTGGGGGGCACAGACGGACGCGGCTACCCCTCCGCTGCCGGCCACCCATCTCGCAGACCCCGCGGGCTGCGGCACCCGGGGCACGAGGCCGATGGCGGCAAAGCGCCCACCAGGGCCCCGCTGCGCCCGCCTCCGAGCGCCCCGGCTGGTCCCTGCAGCAGCCCCGGCGGCGCGGGGCCCGGCGCTGGGGGCTCAACCCTGGCCGGGGCCGCTTCGGGATCGGGGCAGAAGCCGGGGTCGGTCCTGCTCGGAGCGCGGGCGGCACGGGGGACCCCCGAGGGCCCCGCCAGCCCGGCTCTTCGAGGGCAGCTCGCCGCGGGGCGGGGCCGGGCCGGGCCGGGGCGGGGCGGGGCCGGGGCCGGGGCGGGGCGGGGCCGGGGCCGGGGCGGGCGGGAAGCCCAGCGGCCGGCGGGCCCCGGCTGCTCCCGTCCCGCGGGGCACCGTCAGCCTCCGCCCGGGCCAGGCGGGATCCAGGGGGACCCTCCTCCGAGACCCGGCGCTCGGGGCCGCCCCGGGGAGAGCGCAGGGCGGTCGGGCTCCGGCGGGGGCCGCGGCCCTGAGGGAGCGAGGAGGACCCCGCGGGGCCGCCTTTCCGGCCGGTGGCGGAAGCGCCCTTTGACCCCGGAAGTGCCCGGCCGGGGGGCGGGGCTGAGCTGTCAGAGCCGGACGGGCCGGTAACGGGCTGGAGCCGCCGGTCAGCGCGCGGGGACCAGCCGGGGGGGGCGGGGGCAGTGGGGGGGGCAGGGGGACAGTTGGGGGGCAGCGGGGTGAGTCAGGGGAGGTGGGGGGCAGCGGGGTGGCTGGGGGCAGGGGGACAGTTGGGGGCAGCGGGGTGGGTCAGGGGAGGTGGGGGGCAGCGGGGTGACGGGGCAGGGGGACAGTTGGGGGGCAGCGGGGTGGGTCAGGGGAGGTGGGGGGGCAGCGGGGTGGGGCGGGGGGCGGAGCCTGTGGGTGGGGGTGGCTGAGAGGAGTGGGACAGTTGGGCAATGGGGTGGGTCGGGGGAGGTGGGGGGGCAGCGAGGTGACTGGGGGCAGGGGGACAGTTGGGGGGGCAGCGGGGTGGGTGGGGCAGGGGGACAGTTGGGGGGCAGCGGGGTGGGTCAGGGGAGGTGGGGGGCAGCGAGGTGACTGGGGGCAGGAGGACAGTTGGGGGGCAGCGGGGTGATTGGGGCAGGGGGACAGTTGGGGGGCAGCGGGGTGGGTCAGGGGAGGTGGGGGGGCAGCGAGGTGACTGGGCAGGAGGACAGTTGGGGGGCAGCGGGGTGGGTGGGGGGGCAGCGGGGTGATTGGGGCAGGGGGACAGTTGGGGGGCAGCGGGGTGGGTTGGGGGGCGGAGCCTGTGGGTGGGGAGGTGGGGGTGGCTGGGGGGAGTGGGTCAGTGGAAGGAGTTGGGGGCAGTGCCTGCATGTGGAAGCGGGTGGGGTGTTTCTTTAACAATATGTGTGATCTGTGTAACATCAGTGCAGGTTTGCAGCCACTTTCACAAGTCACTGGAGCTGTACCACCAAGTCCCTTATTTTAATCAGCATTGTTGTGTTATTTGATGCAGCATATGAGGACCAATGTGACCTCTTGTCCTGCAGGTGTCTCCTGTCCTCTGCACCTGAGGGTACATCCCCTGGGATCCCTCAGGAGATGCGTGACAAATAGCATTTCAGTGTGACAGGAATAAGACTCTCACTGGAGAGCAGCTCAGTCTCCCCTTGGCAGAGTTGCTTGGCTTTTACACTAGTCCCATCTGCTGGTGCAGCCCCAAAGCTATACACAGGGAGTTGTGTCCTCAAGGCTTAAACCAAAGCGCATAGAAAAATGCATATCTTAGTCGTCTTTTTCCTGTTTAGCTCAACAATCTCTTGGTCAGCAGTCTAACTTTCGTCGGTACTGAGCATCGGTAAGTCCTGTTGACTTCAGCTGGAGTTCTTGGTGCTTAGCACTTCAGAAAATTAAGCTGCTGCTTGTTTGTCTGTTTGTTTTTAAAGGTATGTGTATAGTAGATTTTTAAAAACAGTTTTTAGAAATGTAAGTTCACAATTTATTTTGTGTCAAAGACTGAAAAATAACGTAATTTGTCTCACAATAAAAGCAATATCCTTGTGGTTTTTCAGCCTCAGTGATTTATCATAGAAATGTGAAAATTCCTGCATAGCTATATTTTTAAAACACTGGTGTGAAGCTTACCATTTTAATTGCTTTTAGAATGCTGTAAATAGTTCTCCCCCCCCCCTTCCGCGCAAGTACCGCACTGGTTGTATATTGGGATTAGCATGGTGAAATATATTTTTTGTTAAATGGATTTTATAAGAAATCCATTTGTCATAAGATCCATTTATCTAAAAGGTTAAACATTAAAGGTTTTGTCATCTAAAATTTCACGTGGCAAATGGACAAAAGCCTCAGCCTTTCAGGGTATGTCTACACTGCACCTAGGAGCAAGTCTCCCAGCATGGGTACACAGATTCACCCTAGCCAGGCTCAAGCTAGCGTGCTAAAAATAGCAATGTGGATGTTCTGGCACAGGTGGAACCTCGGACTTTCAAGCCCATCTGATCCGAAGGCTTCTGAGCCTGAGCTCCAGCCTGAGCTGGAACGTCCACTTGGGCATTTTTAGTGCACTATCTTGAGCGCGACTAGTGCAAGTCTGTCTGACTGGGCTGGAGGTTTACTTCCAGCTGTGGTTGAGATATACCCAGAGTCTGTCATTTCCAGCTTACGCTTGGATGCTGCACTTGGATCCACTTGGGTGAACATGGCATAAGTGTGGTTCTGCCTGAGGATAAGGGTCCACAGACGTCCATCTAACTTCAGGATCAGGGTCTTAAACTTTAACTTGAATACAACTTTTTAACAGCATTTGAAATAAATGATCGTACTTTTATAAAACCACAGAAATTAAAGTACAAAAGCTTTGTTGAGCTTGCAGTTTCCAAGCTTTTTAATATTTGAGACTTTTAAGGGTGTTTTTAATGGTACATCTTCTCTTGAATTGCCATAGCAAGGTTTTTCATTTAGTAGAACTAATTTTATAATAACAGTATCTGTGAGAATACAGGGGCTTGTACAGAATCAAACAAGCAATGGGCATAAAAGAAAAGTGAAAGCTCGAACATCTTTTTTAGTCTAATCTCATGTCCTTAAAATATATATATTATGTATATAATCATTTAATAAACTTGCTTCATAAGAACACAGAATCTTCTTTTGATAACATGTTAGCAGGATGTCTTATGACCGCCCTTAGAATTTCTGAAATCTGGACATAGACTATGGCGACAGGGCTCTACACAGGAGAGGTCTTAACAGGACTTTTCAGTAACCATGTGAGAATTTTAAGCATTTACACAAAAGAAACTACACCAACAAAAATTCTTTTTGGTGCTCCTGTGGATGTCTTTGTGAGTGCTTGGTGTAAATGCTGTAAAGAAAATATGGCTGTACTCTAAGTCATGGGGAGCTGCTTTTTCTGTGCCTATGCACCTAATCCTTGGATGTCTCCTGAAGTCTGATGTTTGGTGGTGTAAAGGTTTCCTTTGTTTTGATGTGGTTCCAGACTCTAGGGGTGCTTTTTATAGAAGGGGTGCATTTTAAACCTGTCTTGTTTTCTTGTTGGTTAATTGTTTCTGTAAACAGTTCCTCATATTGCTTTTATGTTGGTGTTTGCCAAAGACAGAGAGATCTCAGCACAATGCCAGTATTGCCCTTGGAGGAACTCCAGCTTAGAGAGACGGATCCAAAGACAGGGAAACTGAGGACTTTACCAGCATTGGTGAGTTGTGTAGTTTTTTAAATGAAAACATTCAACAAATCATTCTCTCATTTCAAGAAGCGACTTTAGCAAAACTGGCTCTGGGACCAAAATACAGTGAAACCCAAACAGCTTCCCTATAGGAGGAGATTTTATTTGAAGTGAAATTGAAGTCTGCATGTTGTAGTGCATTGAAACTATTTGGGGCTTTTGTTCTATGGTGTATCCAAGTTTATTATAAACGTAGTCTTCATTCCGAGAATTGCTTGATGGATAGTGTTGATATTCCTGTAGTGGAGAGGAAACTTACTGATATTTGAAACTCAGTTTAGAAGTTTAACTCTGAGGTGAAGCATCAGTGTTGGTTCCTCTGTGCCACCACGTTCTGTGCCCTCGCCCATGTGGATTTGCAACCACAGGCTGAAGTCAGAGCTCAGTGCAATGCAAGCTGCACTAAAGGACGATAACCTGTTTGTTTTCTGTATTGGATAGTCCAGTCAGCTTGACTCTGGAAGGAGCTGAAGCAGCGGTATTGAAAGGGAGCAACATTTCAAAGGAATGACTTTGAGCTGCTGCTGTTTCTTTTGGAGGTGTGGGAGAGTTGCTTGTCAGTGATTTATCTGAATGGGATACAAGGAGCAACACATACTGAACTGTGCAGGATTCTGAAAATATTATTGAAAAATAAGGATGATGCAGAACCACTGATCTGCAGTGTTTTAAAGATTAAAGAGCGGGGAGACCTACCAGTGAACATAAGAGGATGGATTCCTGATAACTACACACCAGTTTCCTAAAAATATGAGAGATGTCCCTGGCTGCATAAATGGTTAAGAGGAATTCTTGTTGCTTGGTCCCTAATTTGTTAACACATTGTCTTTTTGCTTTCTGTAGCATCCAGAACTGAAAGCTGATCGGTCTTTTGTGCTATATAAACCACCCCCTAAAGTCAGAGACCCTGCTCTAGTGGAGGAGTTCTTGGAACGAGCAAAGTTCATTGCAGATGATCTGAACTGGCTTCTGGCTTTGCCTCATGATAAATTTTGGTGCCAGGTAACATTACTGAATAGATAATAAATAAAAACCTGTGACTTATATGAGTGCTTAGAAAAATAAGTAGGTTTAATTCATGTATCTGATGAAGGCTCATAATTGCCTTTTGTTGCTTGTACCCAAACATCTTAATTTTGGATCGTGTAACATTAAGATTGTAATATTTCCTTAAAGATTTTTGATAATGAATTTTAAAACTGTTAGTTTGGAATCAATGGACCATGGACTCCTCTGAACACCTTTGATTTCTTTGGCTTACTGTTGAATTTAAATACCATGCACTGCATATGTGTCGTGTGATGTGGTGTACCACTGTGCATGCTTCATCTTTCCCTCTCCCCATTTGCCTTTGTTCTGTTGTATTAGGTCATATTTGATGAGACACTTCAGAAATGCCTGGATTCATATCTGTGCCATGCCCCTCGCAAGTTTGATGCATCGTTGGATTTCCCTCTGGAGGTGAATGACATCCAAAAATGCCTTCATCGGAGTGTCTTCCTAACCTTCCTCAGAATGTCCACTCACAAGGAGTCTAAAGTAAATACCTCTTCTTCTTACCCTCACTGCACACTGTATGGCTTACAAAAATTGATAGACATTTTGGGAAACAGACTGTGTTTCCTATTCATCTCTCCCGGCTGCCTTCCTTTTTTAGCCCCTATTTTTCTCATTCCAATAGTTTCCACAAAGATAGTCCACCAATCAGCAAAGGACAGAACTATCTTAAGTGCGTAATGATTTCATTAATCTGCTTCACAAAGGAAAATGCTACTCTTAATAATAGGTTAGCAAGGTGTGGCATTATAAATGGATAGTATAAGAGAATCTACAGTAAGTTAGCCTTTGCAGGGCTTCATAAAAGGTGTGAGAGACTGTCGGAGGCCCCTGTAGCCATGTGTTGGTGACCACTCTCATGCCACCTGCCGCCCTGGTCCAGGCATCAAGTCATGCAACCCAGACTGAGACTTCTCCCATTGTACTTTCTCCAAATTTCTGCCTCTCCCTATGGTTGATTTAAAATTGCATCCAATTACAGTTTTCTTTGCATCATGATAAAGGGTGTGTGAGTGCAATGCTCATTAGCAGAGGTGGAAGTTTCACAAGGGCCTTAAAGAAACTCATTCTGTCCTCAGGTTTTAATAATTACTGACCTGAAATCCTCCTTGGTTTATGTCAGGGTTCCCTCCCCTCCCCCCTGACTCTGAACTCTGGGGTACTGATGTGGGGACCTGCATGAAAGACCCCCTAAGCTTATATTTTACCAGCTTAGGTTAAAACTTCCCCAAGGCACAAATTCCTTTCCTTGTCCTTGGACGGTATTGCTGCCACCACCAAATGATTTATACAAAAATTCAGGGAGGGGTCACTTGGAATCCCTGTCCCTCCAAAATATTCCCCCAAGCCCCTTCACCGCCTTTCCTGGGGAGGCTTGAGAATAATATACCAATCAGTTGGTTAGCAATAGGAGCACAGACCAAACCCTTTGTCTTTAGGACACTGAAAATCAATCAGGTTCTTAAAAAAAGAACTTTATAAAGAAAAAGTAAAAGAATTACACCTGCAAAATCAGGATGGAAGGTAACTTTACAGGATAAATAAAAGGATTTAAAACACAGAGGATTCCCCTCTGGCTCAGCTTCACAGTTACAAAACAGGAATGAAACTACCTTTTTAGCATAGGGAAAATTTACAAGCTCAAACAAAAGATAGCCTAATGCATTTCCTTGCCTACTTACAATTTCCGTAATTTTAGATGGATCATTCCAGGTATATTTTCAGGAAATATTGTACCTGCTTGGTCACTCCCTCCATACAGAGAGGGAACAAACAAAGAGAGCCACAAACAAATTCTCACCCCAGATTTGAAAGTATCTTCATTCCTCATTGGTCCTTCTGGTCAGGTGCCAACTAGGTTATTTGACAGGTTTCAGAGTAACAGCCGTGTTAGTCTGTATTCGCAAAAAGAAAAGGAGTACTTGTGGCACCTTAGAGACTAACCAATTTATTTGAGCATGAGCTTTCGTGAGCTACAGCTCACTTCATCGGATGCATACCGTGGAAACTGCAGCAGACTTTATATATACACAGAGATCATGAAACAATACCTCCTCCCACCCCACTGTCCTGCTGGTAATAGCTTATCTAAAGTGATCATCAGGTGGGCCATTTCCAGCACAAATCCAGGTTTTCTCACCCTCCACCCCCCCACACAAATTCACTCTCCTGCTGGTGCTAGCCCATCCAAAGTGACAACTCTTTACATAATCAAGTCGGGCTATTTCCTGCACAAATCCAGGTTTTCTCACATTTCCCCCACCCCCATACACACACAAACTCACTCTCCTGCTGGTAATAGCTCATCTAAACTGACCACTCTCCAAGTTTAAATCCAAGTTAAACCAGAACATCTGGGGGGGGGGGTAGGAAAAAACAAGAGGAAACAGGCTACCTTGCATAATGACTTAGCCACTCCCAGTCTCTATTTAAGCCTAAATTAATAGTATCCAATTTGCAAATGAATTCCAATTCAGCAGTTTCTCGCTGGAGTCTGGATTTGAAGTTTTTTTGTTTTAAGATAGCGACCTTCATGTCTGTGATTGCGTGACCAGAGAGATTGAAGTGTTCTCCGACATTATAACATTCATAAACCAGTCGGAGAACACTTCAATCTCTCTGGTCACGCAATCACAGACATGAAGGTCGCTATCTTAAAACAAAAAAACTTCAAATCCAGACTCCAGCGAGAAACTGCTGAATTGGAATTCATTTGCAAATTGGATACTATTAATTTAGGCTTAAATAGAGACTGGGAGTGGCTAAGTCATTATGCAAGGTAGCCTGTTTCCTCTTGTTTTTTCCTACCCCCCCAGATGTTCTGGTTTAACTTGGATTTAAACTTGGAGAGTGGTCAGTTTAGATGAGCTATTACCAGCAGGAGAGTGAGTTTGTGTGTGTATGGGGGTGGGGGGGATGTGAGAAAACCTGGATTTGTGCAGGAAATAGCCCGACTTGATTATGTAAAGAGTTGTCACTTTGGATGGGCTAGCACCAGCAGGAGAGTGAATTTGTGTGGGGGGGTGGAGGGTGAGAAAACCTGGATTTGTACTGGAAATGGCCCACCTGATGATCACTTTAGATAAGCTATTACCAGCAGGACAGTGGGGTGGGAGGAGGTATTGTTTCATATTCTCTGTGTGTATATAAAGTCTGCTGCAGTTTCCACGGTATGCATCCGATGAAGTGAGCTGTAGCTCACGAAAGCTCATGCTCAAATAAATTGGTTAGTCTCTAAGGTGCCACAAGTACTCCTTTTCTTTTTAGGTTATTTGAGCTTCTTAACCCCTTACAGGTAAAACGATTCAGTATAGCTGCCAAGGAGGGATTTTATGCTACCCTTTTCTTTATATTTATGACCGTTTATGCGTTGTCATGATGGTCAATTTCAGTCTGTTTTGAGAAAAGATCTCAGTGTGAGTGTTGGAGGAGTGGGAAGAGAACAGGTGAAAGAAGTGCTGTATCCTGTAGTTAACATCAATAAAAGTACTCCATACTTCTGCAGAGCCTTTCATCTGAGAAGGAATACTGTACAGACATTAATCAATTAAACCTCACCGCTCCAATGAGGTAGCTAAGTATTTGGGTAAATTGAAGTCAATGGTTTGCCTGTTGCCACATAGCAAATTAGTGAGAGTGCTAGAAATAGAACCCAGCAATCCTAACTCCCTGTCCAGGGTATTAACTGGGAGAACACATGTTTTGGATGGATAATGTTTGCCATCATAAGCAAATCTTTCTTTTATTAGTCATTGCTTCCACTATTATTCTTTAAATTGCATACTTCTCCATTTCAGAAGCAAAGAGAATTTTAGTTTGAAGACCTTTGTCATTTAGAATTTTAAAAACATTTCCAGCCTAACATGTTAGTTACATGAGTTACATCTGGAAGATGGAGTTGGTGTAGGGGTTTGGAGCACAGAGATGTAAATCAGGAGTCCTGGGTTCTGTTCCTATCTGTGCCACTGATGAAGTGATTTTAGGCAAGGAACTTAATTCCTCAGTGCCTTGGCTTCCAAATCTGTAAAATGCTTGCCTACCTCCCGGGGTGGTAGTCTTGATATCTTTGAGGTGCTTGGGTTAAAGATGTTTGACAATGCATAGGTATTACTGTAAATGCTTTAATCCTTGCAGAGTTAGGGTTACCATACATCTGGACATTTTTTCTTTTTTGATCCTCCACCCTCTGTCTGAGTGGATTTTTCAAATAAGAGGCAACGTCTGGATTTTTGTGACCTAACTAGCTGATGTTGCATCTCAGAAAGAGCTGTCTCCATTCCATGATTGGTCGCTGCAGCTGATTGGTTACTTCCTTGCAGCCACAGCTGCTGGATCCTGCCCACCCAGGCCCCAGCTCCCAGCCTTGGGGTGGGGGAGAGGCTGGGAGGTGCTGCATCCTGGGCCCACGCCAGTTACCCTGCCACGGTGATAGGGAGTGACACTGCCCCCCACCTCGAGAGTGAGGCTACAGGAAACCCCTGAAGCATCCCCCTCTTCCAGTACACACACACACCCCTCCAGCATCCCCCAGATACCCCCTCCTCCCAACTCCACCTCCCACATTGTCTTCTTTTTGGGAACCTGAAATATGGTAACCCTATGCAGAGTAGAATATGGATTCTCTTTCAAGTTGTTAGAAGTTTATTTTGTCTTTTTTTTTTTAATCTGGTTTCTCTTGTTTTTAATAGGAACACTTCATCACACCTTCTGTTTTTGGAGAAATTCTTTACAATAACTTCCTGTTTGACATCCCTAAGATTCTGGATCTGTGTGTGCTCTTTGGGAAAGGAAATGGCTCCCTACTTCAGAAGATGATTGGTTAGTCAAAGCTGGGGACAGCTTGTTGCTTGAGGCTTTCTAGTTGTTCTCTGAAAGGCAGGCATTGAAGGGGTCGGGATTGCTACTGAGTGAAGCAACCTCAGAACAAACTCTTCCTTATAAAATAAGAAATTGGGATTTCTGAATAAGACAAGTTTTCTTTTACTTTCTTGTGAACCATCTTTATTTATGGGTGATGTGGGGAGGGGATTACACTTTGCTGTTTGGGAGAGCTAGGTTTGTTTCATAGTCCCTCTTGCTTCCTAGGGTAGATCTGCTACAGGGTCTCTTTATTGCTCAACAGGAACTCCTCTGGCTAGTTAAAATGCAGCTCTGAGACTGTAAAGGGACGCTGTGCTTCCACAAGGAACATGGAAGATCCTGGGGGTGAGGAGAAAGTCCAGAAAGCCTTATTCTTTGCAGGATGAGAGAAGGGGGAGAAGTCTGACTGCTAAGATTGGTCCTTTTGCTCCTGTAGCTGGCAGCTAGACAAAACACACAATGTGATTGTTCTGTGACTACAGAGAACTTGAACTGGAAAAACAGAACTTGATTTTCATAGAGTCCCTGTTAGTTGCAAAGTATCTCAAAGCACTTTACCAACTGAATTCATCACTGCTCTGCCTGTGTCTGTGTCAGCAAACACAGCAGCAATTATACGTTTAGCAACAGCTCAGCCTTGGACATTAGAACCTGTTTTATGGTCAGAGGACGAGTTGGTCTGGACACTGCATTTATCCCTATTCTTTTCATAAGGGGCCATCTGCGATCCTTAACTTCCACCTGAGCAGGGCTGGTGGAGCACGTAGTTTTGGATACAATAAGATCTAGAATCCTTCATCTAAAATTCAAACCCAGACTGTTCTGAAGTTTGAATAATTTAACTTTTTTCCTTCCTTTGAAAGATGGCTATTATTGGATTTTTCATTCAATCCAAGCTAAAATGGGAAGTATGAGAAATCTTCTGACACAGGCTGTTCAAACAAGATTTTTGCCAAATTTCCAGGCCTCAGCACTTTGACTTTTGAATGCTGATCTTTCTCCTCTTTTTTTTTTTGTTTTTCTTTTTTCTTTCCAGGGTCTCTTGACATAAGCTCACTCTACTGTGCCCCAAATGCAGGAGACACCCCCCCAAAAAAGGCCCTTTAGAGGAGTTATCAAAATGTTCTTTTTTCTTTTCTTTTTTTTTAAGTCTATGTTTCAAAAACCTAGTCTAAATGGTACATGCAGTTACTGTGATTGTGTGTGCAACAGCAGTAATTGTGCACACAGATGTCCTGTGAGATGTCTACCTGGCTGTTTGTGTATGCAATCATGGTATCTGCATGTGCAATTCAGGTGTGCAAATGCATAAAATCAGATTTTTCCTGTCCTTATTCTTCTCTGTGAAACATTTTTCACAGGTCTTACACACATGTGTAAACTCTGCAAGAGGTTTGTCCTTGTGGTGGAACCATGGTAATCTGTACAGCATGTCTGGTAATTCATGGAAAAAGGGCAATCAATGTCTCTCCACTACTCAGTTAAGATTTACAGCACTCTGCTATTCTGCAGAATATTTTGAAAAGATAATGAGAGCAATACCTAGTCTTATGTTATTAAGATAAGGCCTCGTTACCTTTAAAAAATATGTTACAGAACATTTGCTGGCGTACATGGAATTAGCAATTAAAACTCAACTACAGCTGTCAAATAAAGGAACTAGGAGCATTTAGTGATATTATTTACTGACTCAACCAACCGTGCAGTGCTTGAATCATCTAGCGTCTTGGACAATGTGTTCTAATGAACATTCTCATTACCAGCCCTCCAAAGGCTCTTAAGCAAAATACAATGTGATGGGATAAGAGGTAAGGTCCTCTCATGGATTGGTTAAAAGATAGGAAACAAAGGGTAAGAATCTATGGTTAGTTTTCAGAATGGAGAGTGGTAAATAGTGGTGTCCCCCAGGGGTCTGTACTGGGCCCAGTCCTATTTAACATATTCATAAATGATCTGGAAAAAGGGGTAAGTAGTGAGGTGGGAAAATTTGCAGATGATACAAAACTGCTCAAGATAGTTAAGTCCCAGGCAGATTGCGAAGAGCTACAAAAGGATCTTTCAAAACTGGGTGACTGGGCAACAAAATGGCAGATGAAATTCACTTTCGATAAATATAAAGCAATGCACATTGAAAAACATAATCCCAACTATACATACAAAATGATGGAGTCTAAATTAGCTGTTACCACTCAAGAAAGAGATCTTGGAGTCATTGTGGATAGTTCTCTGAAAACATCCACTCAATGTGCAGAGGCAGTCAAAAAAGTGAACAGAATATTGGGAATCATTAAGAAAAAGCATAGAAAATAAGACCGAAAATATCATATTGCCGCTATATAAATCCATGCTATGCCCACATCTTGAATAATGTGTGCAGATGTGGTCGCCCCATTTCAAAAAAGATATATTGGAATTGGAAAAGGTACAGAAAAGGGCAACAAAAATGACTAGGGGTATAGAACAGCTTCCATATGAGGAGAGATTAATAAGGCTGGGACTTTTCAGCTTGGAAAAGAGACAGCTAAGGGGGAATATGATAGAGATCTATAAAATCATGACTGGTGTGGAGAAAATAAATAGGGAAGTATTATTTACTTCTTCTCATAACACAAGAATTAGGGGTCACCAAATGAAATTAATAGGCAGCAGCTTTAAAACAGACAAAAGGAAGTATTTTTTCTCACAATGCCCAGTCAGTCTGTGGAACTCCTTGCCAGAAGATGTTGTGAAAGCCAAGATTATAACAGGGTTAAAAAAAGAACTAGATAAGTTACTGGAGATAAGTCCATCAATGGTTATTAGCCAGGATGGGCAGGGATGGTGTCCCGAGCCTCTGTTTGCCAAAAGCTGGGAACGGGCGACAGAGGATGGATTACTCAATGATTACCTGTTCTGTTCATTCCCTGTGGGGCACCTGGCACTGGCCACTGTTGAAAGACAAGATACTGGGCTGGATGGACCTTTGGCCTGATCCAATATGGCCATTCTTACGTTCTCCAGCTGTACTGAACTGTTAGGAGATGGTCAGCTATATAGGAACAAGCACTGTACTTGTGGTGGGTATAGGTCAATAGTTCCACCCTGGGTGGTTACAAGTCTTATTTTTAGAGAAGATGCTGTGGATAGTACATAAGGACGTTGCTTGGTGTGAGGCTGCTTGTTGGGCTGAACGTTTGAATTAATCTGGAATGGATTTTTTCCTCCTCTTCTTTCAGAAAACATCTTCACTCAGCAATCAAGTTACTTCAGGGACTTGAATGAGACGGTGCCCACAATCCTACAGGTACTGCCTCTTTATCTGGCTTGGGGTGGTTTTCCGAGCCTCCAGGGGAGGCTCTGACACAGTCCCAGGAGGCATAGTTGCAGGCTGGAAGAATTGTTTGTGTTTCTTTGTAATTGATCCCCTGAATTATACCAGCCGATGTTAGATGGCTTTTATCTACAATGGTTTACTCACAGCTAACCCCCTCACATCCTACCTGTTTATGACACTATCCTTGCTGCGAATCCTTGGGACTTCCTGTGCTAGATAGTTCATATAGGAAGTGCCCATTTCCCCCTGCCCAAATACAAGAGACTGAGACATTTACACTTGTGATCACACCCAGTAAGCTCACAGGAGAGAATGAAAATATCTTTGGAACCAAGATACATAAATTGCTCCTATACAGATATTAGCCAGGTCCAATGTTCTGAGCTTTCGTTGCTCTGAGCAATAAGAATTTCCCCACACTGACTGGGCTATGCTCGTATTTAATTTGAATATGAATCAAGGTACCTTGGCATCATTGCAATGGGAAAATTTGTGTTTTAGTCCTCAAACAAATAAATTTTAAAAAGTAATTTTGTCGAGACAGCTGGGATGGCTTTCTGTTCTCTCTGGTGTCTCCATCTCTATCACGCTTCGGATGTACTAAACTCAGCGGTTCAGGAGCACTTGTGTGAGAGATGGTGTCACATGTAAAAGTGCTCTGTGATGCCAGATTATCCATTCAAAACAGTTATTTGAAGGGCAGTGAAGATTCTGCTCATTGTATGTGGTGTATGTCTTGAAGCAATTACTTTGGGTTTACAGAGCTCTGCTTTGCATACTGTGTGTTAGATGTTTTGTTAATTAACACTATCACAGAAAGAGCATCGGGATATTTGCATGCACGCATATACCAGTCCAAAGTCCACTTGGTGATTTAAAGGAAAAGCAGTATAAATCCAAATACTCAACTTCAAAAATGCCTGTGGCCCCTCTGTTCATCTTATAGTCTGCTCTGTTGGAGGGAGGAGGATGGCAGATCTCCAAAGATGCAAATGTAATAGTTGTTTCTTAAGTTCTAGGCTGTGAGAGAAAGATACAGATAAATTTGTCCCTGCTTTCAGGTTAGGCAGCTCTCTATTGTGTGTAAATAGCAATGTCTTTTGTTCAGTTCAGCTGACAGTCATAAAAGGACTGCTGACAAGATAGAACACACTGGGTGCATTTGCCTGTCTGATGTAATAATGGTTTGCTCTTTGTGATCCAGGTGTTCAACAACGTTCTGCAGGAGTGTGGCTTGCAATGTGATGGGGCCTCAGCCAAGCCCCAGAAATTGGAAGAAAGAGTCAAAGTGACTCCTAGTACCATGCCTCTCCAGGTGGAGTTATTGCTGTAACCTTTCCCGCCGTGTACATAGCTTTTTTGCTAAGCTAACCACAGACTGTTAACCCGCATTGAGTCAAATGGTTCCCAGATACTTAGGTCTCATTAAGCATATGGCTCCTAGACATTGTTTCAGTGCTTATCATGTGACGGAGTTCCATATTCTTTGTTCTTCTATTCATTTTGGGTTGCCTTTCCCCCGATAAATTCTGGTATGACCTTTATTTCCTTTCCTTTCCAACCCCTGCTAAGCAGTGTGAAAGGGAATATTACGAAATAAAGCAATATCAAGGATCTGAGTAACTGCAAAATCGCTTTATGATGACGATCTTGCATTAAAATAGCCCCTTCCTTCAAAATTATTAGTTGTATAGCCATGGTGCAGGAAAGGGCCCCATTGGGCTAGGTGCTGTACAAGCGCATATTAAAAGAGTTTATAATCTAACGTAAATCTCCAGACATTTTAACAGTACAAACCATATATAGGATTAGATTTCAAACTGTGAGGCCCACCCCCCAGTAGGGGCATGATGAGGTTATCGGGGGCACGAGGTAGGTGTGGGGTTGCAGCTGGCTAAGTGTCCGGGAGAGGGGAACAGCAGGGAGAGCACACAGGGAGTCCTGGTAGTGGTGGTGGAGTGCAGGTCTACCCCAGACTCACACCACGCTACCCTGCCCTGGCAGCAGCCACTTCCTCCCCTCTCTGACCACTGGGGACTCCCTGCGTGCTGAGCCCACTGCTACCCAGCCCACAGGGCCCAGATGCCTGGCTGGCCACAGCTCCATGTGTTTTTAAATCCTCTGAAGCCTGTAGGAGTGAGGGACTCTGGACTTGCGGGAGGGAGGGTGAGGAGCCCTGGTTGGATCCACGCCATGCTGCCATGGTGTCGTCTGGGGATCATAGAATATCAGGGTTGGAAGGGACCTCAAGAGGTCATCTAGTCCAACCCCCTGCTCAAAGCAGGACCAATCCCCAACTAAATAGTCCCAGCCAGGGCTTTGTCAAGTCTGACCTTAAAAACCTCAAAGGAAGGAGATTCCACCACCTCCCTTGGTAACCCATTCCAGTGCTTCACCACCCTCCTAGTGAGAAAGATTTTCCTAATATCCAACCTAAACCTCCCCCATTGCAACTTGAGACCATTACTCCTTGTTTTGTCATCTGCCACCACTGAGAACAGTCTAGATCCATCCTTTTTGGAATCCCCTTTCAGGTAGTTGAAAGCAGCTATCAAATCCCCACTCACTCTTCTCTTCTGGAGACTAAACAATCCCAGTTCCCTCAGCCTCTCCTCATAAGTCATGTGTTCCAGTCCCCTAATCATTTTTGTTGCCCTCCGCTGGACGCTTTCCAATTTTTCCACATCCTTCTTGTAGTGTGGGGCCCAAAACTAGACACAGTACTGCAGATGAGGCCTTACCAATGTCGAATAGAGGGGAACAATCATGTCCCTCGATCTGCTGGCAATGCCCCTACTTATACATCCCAAAATGCTGTTAGCCTTCTTGGCAACAAGGGCACGCTGTTGACTCATATCCAGCTTCTCGTCCACTGTAACCCCTAGGTCCTTTTCTGCAGAACTGCTGCCTAGCCACTCAGTCCCTAGTCTGTAGCAGTGCATGGGATTCTTCCGTCCTAAGTGCAGGACTCTGCACTTGTCCTTGTTGAACCTCATCAGATTTCTTTTGGTCTAATCCTCAAATTTGTCTAGGGCCCTCTGTATCCTATCCCTACCCTCCAGCATATCTACCACTCCTCCCAGTTTAATGTCATCTGCAAACTTGCTGAGGGTGCAATCCACGCCAACCTCCAGATCATTAATGAAGCTATTGAACAAAACCGGCCCGAGGACCGACCCCTGGGGCACTCCACTTGATACCGGCTGCCAACTAGACATGGAGCCATTGATCACTACCCGTTGAGCCCGACGATCTAGCCAGCTTTCTATCCACGTTATAGTCCATTTATTCAGCCCATACTTCTTTAACTTTCTGGCAAGAATACTGTTGGAGACCGTATCAAAAGCTTTGCTCAAGTCAAGGAATAATAAGTCCACTGCTTTGCCCTCATCCACAGAGCCAGTTATCTCATCATAGAAGGCAATTAGATTAGTCAGGCATGACTTGCCCTTGGTGAATCCGTGCTGACTGTTTCTGATCACTTTCCTCTCCTCTAAGTGCTTCAGAATTGATTCTTTGAGGACCTGCTCTATGATTTTTCCAGGGACTGAGGTGAGGCTGACTGTCCTGTAGTTCCCTGGATCCTCCTCCTTCCCTTTTTTAAAGATGGGCACAACATTAGCCTTTTCCCGGGACTTCCCCCGATCGCCATCAGTTTTCAAAGATAATGGCCAATGGCTCTGCAATCACATCCGCCAACTCCTTTAGCACTCTCGGATGCAGCGTATCCGGCCCCATGGACTTGTGCTCGTCCAGCTTTTCTAAATAGTCCCGATCCACCTCTTTCTCCACAGAGGGCTGGTCACCTCCTCCCCATGCTGTGCTGCCCAGTGCAGTAGTCTGGGAGCTGACCTTGTTCGTGAAGACAGAGGCAAAAAAAGCATTGAGTACATTAGCTTTTTCCACATCCTCTGTCACTAGGTTGCCTCCCTCATTCAGTAAGGAGCCGACACTTTCCTTCACTTTCTTCTTATTGCTAACATACCTGAAGAAACCCTTCTTGTTACTCTTAACATCTCTTGCTAACTGCAACTCCAGGTGTGATTTGGCCTTCCTGATTTCACTCCTGCAGTGTCCTGCTGACACCTGAGTGGGAGCTGTCTGCTCCCCTCAGTCACTTCCCAGATGGGTGGATGTTGGGGGTGGGGTGGAGTGAGGGCATGTTATGTGACTCCCATGTTGAAGGGGGAGCACAGCAAAAAAGTTTGGGAACCTCTGATGTAGAAGAATCATAGACTTTAAGGTCAGGAGGGACCATTATGACCATCTAGTCTGACCTCCTGCACAACGCAGGCCACGGAATTTCACCCACCAACTCCTGTAACAAACCCCTAACTTATGTCTGAGCTATTGAAGTCCTCAAATCGTGGTTTAAAGACTTCAAGGTGCAGAGAATCCTCCAGCAAGTGACCTGTGCCCTATGCTGCAGAGGAAGGCAAAAAACCCCCATGGCCTCTGCCAATCTGCCCTGGAGGAAAATTCCTTCTTGACCCCAAATATGGCGATCAGCTAAACCCTGAGCATGTGGGCAAGACTCACCAGCCAGACAACCAGGAAAGAATTCTCTGTAGTAACTCAGATCCCACCCCATCTAACATCCCATCACAGGCCATTGGGCATATCTACCACTAGTAGTCGAAGATCAATTAATTGCCAAAATTAGGCTATCCCATCATAACATCTCTTCCATAAACTTATCAAGCTTTGTCTTGAAGCCAGATATGTCGTTTGCCCCCACTGCTTCCCTTGGAAGGCTGTTCCAGAACTTCACTCTTCTCTTGGTTAGAAACCTTCGTCTAATTTCAAGTCTAAACTTCCTGATGGCCAGTTTATATCCATTTGTTGTTGTGTCCACATTGGTACTGAGCTTAAATAATTCTTCTCCCTCCATGGTATTTATCCCTCTGATATATTTAGAGAGAGCAATCATATCTCCCCTCAGCCTTCTTTTGGTTAGGCTAAACAAGCCAAGCTCATTGAGTCTCCTTTCAGAAGACAGGTTTTCCATTCCTCAGATCATCCGAGTAGCCCTTCTCTGTACCTGTTCCAGTTTGAATTCATCTTTCTTAAACATGGGAGACCAGAACTGCACACAATATTCCAGATGAGGTCTCACCAGTGCCTTGTATAACAGTACTAACACCTCCTTATCTCTACTGGAAATACCTTGCCTGATGCATCCCAAGACCGCATTTGCTTTTTTGACGGCCATATCACATTGGCGGCTCATCGTCATCCTGTGATCGACCAGTACTCCGAGGTCCTTCTCCTTCTCTGTTACTTCCACGTAATGCGTCCCCAGTTTATAACAGAAATTCTTGTTATTAATCCCTAAATGCATGACCTTGCACTTTTCACTATTAAATTTCATCTTATTACTATTACTCCAGTTTACAAGGTCATCCAGACCTTCCTGTATGATATCCTGGTCCTTCTCTGTATTGGCAATACCTCCCAATCACTTTGGCTGCCACTGAAAATGGACCATGTCAGCTCCTTACGTTCAAACACTAATGTTGTGCAACCATTTAGGATAGAAGGGGAAGAATTCTGTATCCAGCTGGAGTTCCAGAGGGACTTAAGGAGGTAAATTGCCATTATGCAAAGTGGGATTTGGCCAGGGCCCCCCTAATTTAACAAAAGTGCCTTAGAAACTTTAATGAGCATCAGTAGTCAGACACTTTCATTATGCCTTCTGAGGGAGAAAAGGGCTAATATAGTTGTTGTCCTAAATTTTTGTAGACTATCTTATTTGTGCTGTGAGCTCAGACTCTCTTCCCACCCTCAAAAGAGCAGCTTTTCCGTGAACTCAGTGCGTTAGCACTAGTCTCAGAATATTAGGCTGCCAGGACAACTTGATGTGACTTTTTCCTCTTTTTGGATAATGAATAGTTCTTTCTCTACCAGGCATTGAAGGATATCGTGCTGTACTTGTGTGACACTTGCACTACCCTTTGGGCCTTCCTTGATGTCTTTCCCCTGGCCTGTCAGACTGTCCAAAAACATGACTTCTGTTACAGGTACGTGTCTAGTTCCTGACAGCTTGGCTTAGGGGAGTATAAATGCCGAGTGTGCTGTTTTGTCCTTTCCCTTTACATTTATCATTAAAAGAATAGGCTGCTCAGTTTATTCTGATGGTAGAGTAGTCTTTTGGAGAATAAAACAGGTCACTACAGGGGTTGCCCAGAGTTTCCCCAATTGAGGAGTACCTTGGCAATTTGCCAGGAGGTTGGCTTGTACCTAATTTCCATAAAATGGACCAGATTGCAGCCACTTCCTCAGTAATATTGCAGTGTGTCCTATAAAGATTTCAGGGTTTAGCACGCCATCGTCATCTGGGTGTAGGCAGCACTGTGTACAGGGATCGGTGGTCTCTGCAGGCTGTCCCTTTAATAAGGATGTGGGCAACCACACGCTAAGTCAGTCGCTTTGGCCACAATTGCCTTGATTGTGGATATTAATGATGATGTAGATTTAAAAATGTGACTCATTACATTTGGTAAGATAAGAGGTTTTAAGCTCTAAGAAGTGTAGGTTGCTGGAGGGTTATCCCCATTGTATGTCATCATGCTATTTACAGTAGTCAGATTATTGGACTGTTGGTGAATGTTTAGACTGGCCAAACAGCTGCACTATGGTGATTGGTAACCCAAGGGGAAAAAACAGTTGCTTTTAGTTCTGTTGTTGTTGTCTGAAATACACTAAAATGGCCCTGCCCTCTTTTAAGGGGATAGCTGCATTTTATTAATGCACTGTCTATCTGGACTAATCACTGGTTCTTTTGGGTATGGCAGGTGAATACTGATTTGCATGTGTCCCTTTCTGAGAATCTAAAAGGTTTCTAAATCAGCCTCTTGTCACTCTTGCTAATCTTCTGTGTCCTGACCTAGAAGTATGAACTGGTTTCTGCTATGTTGTTAAACTGGTGTCCTTGAGGCATGTTAACATCTTGATATGAGACCAGTTATGAGCAGTGTGTGTGTATCCTCTACACACCATTTTGCAGTCTTAGCCTCTGTACAAAGAACTATAAACCATCAGTTGTAAACCCCTAGCAAATCATGAAGCAAACCCAGTTGTTTCTCGGTGAGGGCAAGTATATCTGCATCCCATGATGCTTTGTCTCTAGGTAAAAATGGTGTGTATGGGCTGTCTAGCTTTCAGAACCAGGTACTAGGCCAACGTGGTTCCTTTGTTCCTTCCCAAGACCCAAAAGGAGCGTGTGTTCTCTCTCCCTGCAAATGGGACCAAGCACGTCTGCCGTCAAAGCCTCTGTGTCTAGCTCCCCTGATCTCTGCAGTATTGGAAAGAGGAGATCTAACAGAAGTAAGAAGGGAGTTCAGTTTGGGTGCATCAGTCTGTCAACTCTTCATGGGCTGCAGATGTGAGTGCAGAATGCTCTAGAGTAGCTCAGGCCATTTGCCTAGTCAGCAGCAGGATGCTTTGAAACCATCTCATTCGGCTGCAGCTGTAGCATAAGTGCTGAACAGATCCAAAGGGAGCTGCTGTTTGCCAGCCTCACATCTATTTAGTTGTGTTTCTGGGAATAAGCTATAATGAAACAAAGGTCAGAGCAGGAACTGAGGATCAGCGCTGGAACTGCTAGTAATGAGAGACTGGAGATATCAATATCAAGATTCCCATTTGATTTGTTTTTTAATGAAGTGTTCTAAAAACATCTGTTGACAGTTCTTGTTTTATTACATGTTTTTGCAGACTGGCTTCATTTTATGAACTCGCGTTTCCTGAGCTGGAATCTGCAATTAAGAGGAGGACATGTGAGGATAAGAGGTAAAAAGTGCAGAGAGGATTTGCTCATTCTTTTCAGAGAGAACCACCCCTACACTAAATTAAAACACTATTTCCCCTTCCACATCCATCTCCTTAGTCTCTCTCTGCCTTTCTTGGCTTCTTCTCAAGAGCCCTGAAGAAGAAGCTTTTCTGACTTCAAAAAAAGCCTCTTTCCCATCTGGTGGGATTTTTAATTAAATCCTTCCCTCCTTTCTAGGGAGAGGCTCGGCATAGTGCACTATCCCAAAGTAGTTGCATCCTAAACCTGTAATAAAGTGCAAGCATGTAAAAGAGCCGGTATACTTCCATTCATAGATTTGCCCCAATGTGTTTGAAAGCAGAGTTCTTGCTAAGGTGGTTTAAATACCATTTGCTTAGCTAGTGAGAACCAAGCGTAACAGTGCTTAAAAAATGTTTATAGAGCAACTTTGTTTAGAATATGTATTCAAACAGATTGTGAAATGGTTCTGTCTGCTCCTTGCAGCAGAGACAGACTGTGGGCTTGTTTACATGAACAGTTAGATCAGGGTCTCAAACTTTTATATGGCTGACCCCTTTCACACAGGAAGTCTCTGAGTATGACCCCCCCTTATAAATTAAAAGCACATTTTTTATATTAACGTTATTATAAATGCTGGAGGCGAAGCAGGGTTTGGGGGTGGAGGCAGACAGCTCGCAACCCCCATGTAATAACCTTGTGACCCTCTGAGGGGTCACAACCCCCAGTTTGAGAACCCCTTAGAGCAGGGTTGGGCAAACTTTTTGGCCCGAGGACCACATTGGAGTTGCGAAACTGTATGGAGGGCCTGGTAGGGAAGGCTGTGCCTCCCCAAACAGCCTGGCCCCCGTCCCTTATCTGCCCCCTGACTGCCCCCCTCAGAACTCCTGACCCATCCACCCTCCCCCCGGCTCCCTGTCTCCTCACTGCCCCGACCCCTATCCACACCCCTGCCCCTAACCACCTCCAGGGACCTCACCCTCTATCCAGCCCCCCCGCTCCCTGTCCCCTGACTGCCCCGACCCCATCCACACCCCCACCCCCTGACAGGCCCCCCCCCGCTCCCTGTCCCCTGACTGCCCCGACCCCATCCACACCCCCCACCCCCTGACAGGCCCCCCCCGCTCCCTGTCCCCTGATTGCCCCGACCCCATCCACACCCCCACCCCATCCAACTGCCCCCCAGGATCCCCTGCCCCTTATCCAACCCCTCCGCTCTCCACCCCTTACCATGCTGCGCTGCCCGGCAGGAGCTCTCAGCCCCGCCGCCCAGCTGGAGTCAGCCACGCTGCCTGGCAGGAGCGGTGGGCCAGAGTGCTGGCGGTGCAGCGAGCTGAGGCTGCGGGGGAGGGAGGATAGCAGGGGAGCGGCCGGGGGCTTGCCTCCCTGGCTGGGAGCTCAAGGGCCGGGCAGGACGGTCCCAGGGGCTGTAGTATGCCCACCTCTGCCTTACAGTCTGGCAAATTGGGGTGTGAATCTACCCCATACTAGCCTGCTGGAGTCTGTCTGTGTGCACCCTGCTGATATGTTTAACAATTCATTAGAGGGCTTTGATCTAGTCCAGTTTCAAATTTCAGAGTGCTCGCCGTGTTAGTCTAAAGACTCCCCGTTAGCAAAAAGAACGAGGAGTTCTTCTGCCACCGTAGAGACTAACAAATTTATTTGGGCATGAGCTTTCGTGGGCTAAAACCCACTTCATCGGATGCATGCCGTGGAAAATAAAGTAGGAAGATACATATACATAGAGAGCATGAAAAAATGGGTGTTGCGATAGCAACTCTAACGAGACGAATAAATTAATAGCAAAAAGAACGAGGAGTACTTGTGGCACCTTAATTGATAAGTCTTGTTAGAGTTGGTATGGCAAAACCCATTGTTTCATGTTCTCTGTGTATATGTATTTTCCACTGCATGCATCCGATGAAGTGGGTTTTAGAGCACAAAAGCTTATGCCTAAATATATTTGTTAGTCTCTAAGGTGCCACGCGCACTCCTCGTTCTTTTTTGAGTCTCAAAGAAGACTAGCTCAGAGTGCTCTAACAGACTGTTAACACATGTCAGCAGGGTGCACAAGGTCAGTTAGAGTGTGGCAGGCTAGTGCGGGGTAGATTCACACCCCAGCTCACCCTGGTCTAATGGTTCATGTAAACTCAGCTAATGCAGCTTCTCCTCCAAAGGGGGCAGGGCCCAAGCCACAGAGATGGGTTTTTTTCTTGTGTTGAGACTAACTCCGTGCTCTCGCACTCTTGCTCTTTCTCTCTCTGAAGCTTACTGGCTGACTTGTGGAGGAGGCTTTCTCATTCCAGGAAGAAGGTGGTGGAAATCTTTCATATTCTCATTAACCACATCTGCCTCCAGCCCATCTTAGAAAGCAGGTACAGGCACTTTACCTATGTGGCTGAGACTGCAGGCTCTACTGGTAGGGTGCTATCCATAGGAGTAACCCAGTTACTTAATTGCTCTGTTGAAGAGTCCTGAGATTTCCAGCCTTACTGGTGAATTATTTATGATTTATATTGGGGTAGTGCCCAAAGGCTCCATTGGAATCAGAGCCCTGTTGTGCTGGGTGCTGTACAAAGATCTAGAATGAAACTGTCCCTGATCCAAAGCATTTACAAACTGGGCTTTGTTTTGATCCCTCCAGAGTGGGATAAGGCCATGTCCTAGTGGACATGTTCTTGTTGGCTACAGGATATTTTGTGACTTCTAGGCTAGTGCTTAGATATCATGGGGCTAAGCACCTTAGCAACACCTAAAACACACAGAAATCCACATGGTGTTGTAGCTCATTGAACAGAATGTTTTTAAATCTAGATATGGATGCTTTTGCCCTTAGTCCATTTTCACCCCAGTGAAAAGCTAGCGTGTAATGGTCCTCATCCCTTGATCTCCAAGTACTGTACAAAGGGGGGTGAAAAACGAGGAGTACTTGTGGCATCTTAGAGACTAACAAATTTATGTGGGCATAAGCTTTCGTGGGCTAAAACCCACTTCATCGGATGCATGAAGTGAAAAATACAGTAGGAAGATATATATACACAGAGAACATGAAACAATGGGTGTTGCCATACCAACTGTAACGAGACTAATCAATTAAGGTGGGCTATTAGCAGAAAAAAAAAAAACTTTTGTAGTCATTATCAGGATGGCCCATTTCAAACTGGTTGACAAGAAGGTGTGAGTAACAGTAGGGGGAAAATAGCATGGGGAAATAGTTTTTACTTTGTGTAATGACCCATCCATTCCCAGTCTTTATTCAAGCCTAATTTAACCGTGTCCAGATTGCAAATTAATTCCAGTGCTGCAGTTTCTCGTTGGAGTCTGTTTTGGAAGGTTTTTGGTTGGAGAATTGCGACTTTCAGGTCTGAAATTGAGTGACCACGGAGGTTGAAGTGTTCTCCGACTGGTTTTTGAATGTTATAATTCTTGACGTCTGACTTGTGTCCATTTATTCCTTTGCATAGAGATTGCCCGGTTCGGCCAATGTACAATGCAGAGGGGCATTGCTGGCACATGATGGCATATATCACATGGGTAGATGTGCAGGTGAAAGAGCCTCTTATGGTGTGGCTGATGTGATTAGGTCTTATGATCATGTCCCTTGAATAGATATGTGGACAGAGTTGGCAACAGGCTTTGTCACATGGATAGATTCCTGGGTTAGTGTTTTTGTTGCATTCCTTTCCAAATACAACCAGATGGACATCATACCAAAAGGACTGAAGGTAAAAAATCCTTTACAATCTACATACCACACAGAGTATGCTGAGAGATTGTGCCACACACTCTCAAAGAAACTGCGGAACCACCCTATCAACATCCCATACAGCAAACAGGGAAAGATTAAGAATGAGCTCTCAAAACTGCATAATCTCATAAAAAGCCAACCTTCCACACAAAGTTCCTCGTGACTGGACTTTACAAAAACTAGACAAGCCATTTACAGCACACACGTTGCTTCTCTACAAAGGAAAAAGGACACTAAACTATCTAAACTACTACATGCCAAAAGGGGCCACAACAAGTGGTTCCCTTAACTCACCCAACAATATTGTTAATCTATCCAGCTATACTCTTAGCCCGGCAGAAGAGTCTGTCCTATCTCGGGGCCTGTCCTTCTGTCCCTCCACCCCCACGAACACAATACAGTTCTGTGGTGACCTGGAATCCTATTTTTGATGTCTCCGGCTCAAGGAATATTTCCAACACACCTCTGAACAGCACAGTAATCCACAGAAACCTTCCTACCAACACTACAAAAAGAAGGATTCTGTGTGGACTCCTCCTGAAGGTCGAAACAACAGACTGGACTTCTACATAGAGTACTTCCGCCAATGTGCACAGGCTGAAATTGTGGAAAAGCAGCATCGCTTGCCCCATAACCTCAGCCATGCAGAACACAACGTCATCCACAGCCTCGGGAACAACTTTGACATCATAATCAAAAAAGCTGACAAAGGAGGTGCTGTCGTCATCATGAATAGGTTGGAATATGAACAAGAGGCTGCTAGGCAGCTCTCCAACACCACAATTCTACAGGCCCTTACCCTCTGATCCCACTGAGGGTTACCAAAAGAAACTACACCATTTGCTCAAGAAACTCCCTGAAAAAGCACAGGAACAAATCTGCACAGACACACCCCTAGAACCCCGACCTGGAAATCCTGGACGCCCCATCATCTCAGGAATTGGCACCCTGACAGCAGGATTGTCTGTCTATGTAGTCTCCCTCCTCAGGCCCTGCGCTACCAGCACTCCCAGCTATCTTCGAGACACCACTGATTTCCTGAGGAAACTACAATCCATCGGTGACCTTCCAGAAAACACCATCCTGGCCACTATGGATGTAGAAGCCCTCTACACCAACATTCCACACAAAGATGGACTACAAGCCATCAGGAACAGTATCCCCGATAATGTCACTGCAAACCTGGTGGCTGACCTTTGTGACTTTGTCCTCACTCACAACTATTTCACACTTGGGGACAATGTATACCTTCAGGGGACAATGTATACTGCTATGGGTACCCACATGGCCCCACAGCATGCCAACATTTTTATGGCTGACTTAGAACAACGCTTCCTCAGCTCTTGTCCCCTAATGCCCCTACTTGTGCTACATTGATGACATCTTCATCATCTGGACCCATGGAAAAGGAGCCCTTGAGGAATTCCACCATGATTTCAACAATTTCCATCCCACCATCAACCTCAGCCTGGCCCAGTCCACACAAGAGATCCACTTCCTGGACACTACGGTGCTAATAAGCGATGGTCACATAAACACCACCCTATACCGGAAACCTACAAACTGCTATACTTACCTACATGCCTCCAGCTTTCATCCAGACCACACCACACGGTCCATTGTCTACAGCCAAGCTCTTCAATACAACCGCATTTGCTCCAACCCCTCAGACAGAGACAAACACCTACAAGATCTCTATCAAGCATTCTTAAAACTACAATACCCACCTGCTGAAGTGAAGAAACAGATTGACAGAGCCAGAAGAATACCCAGAAGTCACCTACTCCAGGACAGGCCCAACAAAGAAAGTAACAGAACGCCACTAGCCGTCACCTTTTGCCCCCAACTAAAACCTCTCCAGCGCATCATCAAGGATCTACAACGTATCCTGAAGGACGATCCCTCACTCTCATAGATCTTGGGAGACAGGCCAGTCCTCGCTTACAAACAGCCCCCTAATCTGAAACAAATACTCACCAGCAACCACACAACAAAAACACTAACCCAGGAACCTATCCTTGCAAGGAAGGTCGTTGCCAACTGTGTCCACATATCTATTCAAGGAACACCATCATAGGGCCTAATCACATCAGCCACACCATAAGAGGCTTATTCACCTGCACATCTACCAATGTGATATATGCCATCATGTGCCAGCAATGCCCCTCTGCCATATACATTGGCCAAACCAGACAGTATCTACGCAAAAGAATAAATGGACACAAATCAGACATTAAGAATTATAACATTCAAAAACCAGTCGTAGAACACTTCAACCTCCTTGGTCACTCAATTTCAGACCTGAAAGTCGCAATTCTCCAACAAAAAACCTTCCAAAACAGACTCCGAGAAACTGCAGAATTGGAATTAATTTGCAAACTGGACACGGTTAAATTAGACTTGAATAAAGACTGGGAGTGGATGGGTCATTACACAAAGTAAAAACTATTTCCCCATGCTAATTTTCCCCTACTGTTACTCACACTTTCTTGTCAACTGTTTGAAATGGGCCATCCTAATTATGGCTACAAACGTTTTTTTTTCTTTCTCCTGCTGATAATAGCCCACCTTAATTGATTAGTCTCGCTACAGTTGGTATGGTAACACCCATTGTTTCATGTTCTCTGTGTATAATATCTTCCTACTGTATTTTCCACAGCATCCATCCAATGAAGTAGGTTTTAGCCCACGAAAGCTTATGCCCTAATAAATTCGTTAGTCTCTAAGGTGCCACAAGTACTCCTGTTTTGTTTTGGTTTTTTTTTGCTGATACCGACTAACACGGCTACCCCTCTGAAAGGGGGGGTGAGTGTCCTCATTTAACAGAAAGGGCAATTGAGGTACAGAGAGGTGAAGTGGCTTACTTAGGGCCATGTGTGCTGAGTCACGAGAAGGATCCAGACCCTGGGACTTTTAGGTCAGTGCCCTTTCCGCTGGACCATGCTGCCTCTACACTGTTGGAATGAATGTTTGTAGACAACCTGCACCGAGCTGTTGATGTCACTGCAGCTCCTCTGATACTTGAATACTGACCCCAAATTATCATCAATACAATCTGTTCAAGGAGATGACATTCCGGTGGTTGAGGTGGAGCTGGGTTCAGTTCCCTGTGTGACCCTGGGCAAGTCACTTAGCCTCTCTGTGCCTCAGTTCCTATCTGCAGAACAGGGATAACAGTCCTGCCTTTCCTCAGAGGATAAGTGCGTTGAAGACTGTGAGTGCTCAGGCACAGTACTGTGGTAATGGTTGGGGGCCATATTAATACCTTAGAATTCAGGGGTTCTCAAACTTCATTGCACCGGGACCCCCTTCTGACAATAAAAATTACTACGCGACCCCAGGAGGGGGGACCGAAGCCTGAGCCCGCCTGAGTGCTGCTGCCCCAGGTGGGAGGGCCAAAGCCCCAGCCCCACCTCCTTAGGCGGCGGGACCAAAGCCGAAGTCCAACCTGAGCCTCGCTGCCCAGGGCTGAAGTCCTTGGGCTTTGGCTTTGGCCCCGGGCCCCAGCAAGTCTAAGCCAGCCCTGGTGACCCCATTAAAATGGGGTCGCAACCCACTTTGGGGTCCCGACCCACACTGCCTTAGGTAGATGGCAGCAACAGCAGCAAATGTCTGGGCTGTCAGGAGCTGGGGTTATTGTGCAGGTGACACATCCTGCTTCTAGAGGGGTGTCTGTATGGCACCAATACACTGGCAGGAGCATTCTGGGAAGGGCGGCTTTCAGCCGTCACATCCGTTTGGCTCTGTGGTGATGCTCAAGGCACTGGCACCAAGTGGCGTTTGAGACTGTACAATAAAGTGGGCTTTGTTTGGCATATGCCCTCACACAGGTGAGCAAAAGAGAGATCACACATTGTCTGGGAGGTTCTGTGCCATAACCTTATATGGAAGGGTCAGTCTTGCAGGAATCTCAATGTACTTAGGAATATAAGTACCTGCCCCTCCCCTCCGCTCCCCACTCCGTTTTCACTTCTTTTAGGGCCACACACTGCAATCTCACTTGCCTTGCAGTATGGTTGCAATCCTATCAAAAGTCCTATTTCCTTAAGACCAAGTTCAGCTTGCTGAAATGGTCACTGAAGCCTCATGAGAAGGCTGGGTCAGTTTCATGATTTGCTGCTTTTTAAAACTAAAAGTCTCAAAAAATCCCACTGGAATGAAATCTGTTGAACAAGTGGGATTTGCTGTGATGTAAGCGTGGTCCTCAGATGTGGCAAACATGGCTAGCAAGGCAGGTCACGGAGGTTCAGAAGGAGGAATGTGATGTTCTCAAAAGTACAGCTCGAAATTCAATTTCTCACTGTTCCATGGCGTCCTCTCTTACAGCTATGAGAATATTCAGCCCTTTATTGAAGAGTTTCTGCAGATCTTCACCTCAGTGCTTCAGGAGAGGAGGTAAATCCAAAAGAATGGGACCCAAAGGAGGAATAACTGTCCTCCCATATCTGTTCCCAGGACTAAAAGTGCGGAAGACATTGGTATATGAGGGACTTTGATGCATGTGGGAATTAGAAATCTTTCAGTCTAGCTAGGAAACGTTCTGTAAGAGAGAATTAGAACAATCTTTATTGTAGTGTTGCAGCGGATGCTGTGTGGTGCCAGAGGCTGTTATAATGCTTTGCACTTCTCCAGCACCTCTTGCTGTGGGCTCTCAAAGTGCTGTATGCATGTTAAGTATCGGGGGGAGCCGCGTCAGCAACAAGGAGTCAGGTGGCACCTTAAAGACTAACAGATTTATTTGAGCATAAGCTTTCGTGGGTAAAAACCCCACTTCTTCAGATGCAACAGATCTTTCTTCAGATCCCACTTCTTCAGATCCTTGTATGTATGTTAGTGAATTAACCATCGTAGCTGCCTTGTCAGGTTGTGAATAACATACTGGTTGTGAATGTATGTTAGTGAATTAACCATCATAGCTGCCTTGTCAGCTACCTTGTCAGACAATTATTTATCCCCAGTCTACAGATGGGGAAACCGAACCATAAATTTAAATGACTTGTCGAAGGACACACAATGAGTCAGTGGCAGAGATGGGAATCCAACCCAGATTTCCTAACTCCCCCAGGTCAGGTGTTTTAATCACAAAATCGTGCTCCTCTCTAACTGGGCATTGGGTCATTGGAGGGTCACAGCATCATGTTGAGGGTTATAATTGGCTATTGCGGTGCGGGGAGGTTGACTGGATTATGATGGAATGCAAAACTAGGCCTGGCGATAGACTCTGGAGTTTGTTTCTGGGTGTGAGATGAAGTGTCTGCAAGGTCGTGGGGTTCATGACTGCGTGCTGATGAGGTTACAGCAGTGCATTAGGGATTGCAGCAAGGGAGCCCTGCAGTTCATTCACTCCTCAGTTTGATTGATATACTTGCTTTTGTGTTTTCAGGTTTCTTCGTGACTATGATGAGCTGTTTCCTGTGGCAGACGATGTGAGTCTGCTTCAGCAGGCATCCTCTGCCTTGTATCCTTTTCTCTCTGCTGGTGGACACTGCACTGTGTTTTAAAAATCTGGTGGATGTTGTTAGCCCTGTCTACATTGGCACTCTCACACTTGCTACCTCTGATTAAGCTGCACCCGTGCCAGCAATGGTGGGGAAGCTGTTAGAAAAAGCCTAGTGTAGGCACAGATTTGGAGTCTTCAAAGAGCACATAACTACTAACATGTGGTGTCTGAACAGGTGCATCTGGACTAGAGCACAGAGAAATGCCCTTAATGCAGTCTTGTAGGGATGACACCCGGACAGCATATATCCTCCAAGCAGTGGAAAGTGCCTGGGAAGGTGTGGAGAGGAGAAAAACACCAGTCATTAAAAGCCCACCTCCACCAATGGTACCTGATGGAGCTTCAGCGATGGTGGAAAATGCTCCTAAGGACTCAGAAGGGCTTGATGGTGCATACCACTTGGAGTATGATGTGAGTATGGAGCTGCGTGGACAGGAAGGGTAATGGTTCTCCCCCACCGTCTCTACTTAACTGATTGTGCCTTGGTGGGGCGAGGAGTCTTGTTTGTTTCTTGGCTCTTGGGCAGTGGCTGTATTCCAAATCCAAATGGACGAATCAAAACTGAATTGCTCCCACCTGTTCAATGCAGCATGGTGAATAAGCTCGGTAATGAGACAAACTGGGTTCTACTTTTGGCTCTGCCACTGGCCTTGGACAGATTGCTTAATTCCTTTTGTCTTGGGTTTCCTATCAACGTAATCCACCTAGTACTCATACAGCTCCCATCACTGACATATCTGAGCCCTTGAGTTGCTTGTAAAGCATTTTGAAGCTATAATGCATCATATACCTGTTAATATTATTTGAGGAAAAGATGCTGTAAAATATCCCAGCTCTCTCTGATTCAAAGAGCAGCATACCTAATTCTCAAAAAGAAAAGGAGTACTTGTGGCACCTTAGAGACTAACCAATTTATTTGGATGCACGGTATGCATCCGATGAAGTGAGCTGTAGCTCACGAAAGCTCATGCTCAAATAAATTGGTTAGTCTCTAAGGTGCCACAAGTCCTCCTTTTCTTTTTGCGAATACAGACTAACACGGCTGTTACTCTGATACCTAATTTTGTACTTGATGGACTCTGCCTAGGGCCCCATTTGGATTCTATTCTCATAACCCTAACTGCTCTCCTTCCCAGTTTCCATGCACACATGGCCTCTCTGTATTGTGATCCCTTTTCAGTAATTCCACCCCTTATGTTTGGTATGTACAGTGTGCTGGAGCAACTGCAGCACCCGCTGCCAAGGTCTCAGGGGTGGAGTTGGATTCTTTGATTTCTCAAGTGAAAGATCTGCTGCCTGACCTAGGGGAAGGCTTCATATTGGCCTGCCTGGAGGAGCACAGCTACAGTGTAGAGCAGGTGATCCACAACATCCTGGAGGATAGGCTGGTACCATCCCTGGACAAACTGGAGCGAACAATGCCAAGGTGGGGATGAGGTTTTAGTATGTTTGGTGCTGTTTTATTTCCAGTTGTGGGTTGTTAAAGGGACTGTTCTGCGTGATGGTTACTAACCACCCTGTGCCTGGGAAAAGGAATGAGCGGATGTTTCCCTCGGCAGGTAGCTGCAGTGCTAGCCACCCAGTTCTGTCCTGCCTCTTCCCCGGTTTCCCTGCAGAGGCCAGAGGTTTTTCCACCCTGAGTTGTTGTACAACAGAGGCTGGGTCGTGTGTTGTGAAGAGACACACAGGACTGTCAACTGGACACTAAAATGAGACCTGTCAAAATCACGTGGTGGGAGACAATAGCTTAGCCCTGTACTAGGCAATAGTGCTGCCACTCTTCTATACAGCAAACCCCCAATCCATTACCTGCAAACGTTACTGATCGGCTGCAGATGGCCATAGTATGGTCCTTCATGAGCAAAATCCCACCAGTCCTGCACGAAGGGAGTATCTTCAAAGAAACTAATTCAAGTGGAATTCACCCTGCAGGGCAGAGTAGTTAAATTGTAAGGTACTAGAATTGTTCTCTGTGCAGAAATTGAATTTTAACCAAGGAGAAATTACAATTCAAATCCACTTTTATCAGAGTCCACAGAGCTGCCTAGCCTCTGCTGCCTTCTGGATGTTGCATGTGGGGGCTTAGGAATCATCCTCAGCAAGGGAACCCGCTTGGTTTTAGCTGCCTTTGCAGCTGTAGAATATGCATGTACTACTGCAGCAGTTTCCAGCCGTGGTTCAGGATGTGAATGGTACGCTATGCCCAGTCATGCTCCAGAAAGGCATTAGCTGACTGGGTCTGGTAGGTCATTCAGCAGTGATGCAGTTTAAAAAAAAATGCAACCCTTATCAGAACAGTGATTATATAAAATGGTGGTTTTGTACATAACACCTTGCTTTTTATTCTCTTTTAATCAGATCTGCTGACTTTTCTGGCACAAACTACTTTGTATTTCTGTTAGCACTGCAGAGCTAACACGGTTACGGGAGACTGGGTGGATTCTGTTTTGTCTCATGCATCATCAACAAAATTGTCAGCTAAGTGGCAAAGGCAGAATTGTAATTCCTGGTGATCTTAGAACAGAGCGCAGCTGAGTTTTTTCAGATTCCAGGCTGAGTATACAGCACCAGAAAAAATAAATGTAAAGATAATCCTCTTTTGACTTGTAAATTGAACAAATTTAATCTGGAAATATTTGAGACAGAATGAATATGGAACCATAGGGAGACCTATCTTCTGAAACCATCCTTAACAAATTATTGGGATCTCCTCCAAAGTGTAGCCCAATACATACATACAGTGTTGACTTTACCAAGTCACTTTGCTGAGCATAAGCATGCTTCAGTATTGAATACTCCAGTTTTGTACATTCTTAAAAGAAGGATTTTCTCCCTTTGCTTTCTCCTAAATGGGTTTGAGCCTCCCCATGGAGATCAGCCACATGGTTTGAGACTTCTATTCTAGACCAGCATAGTATTGGATGTTACACTGGGGCTGTGAAACAGAAAATGACTGGAGCTATTGCAATCTGATGCCGTTCAGTTTTGTACTTTGTGCTGCTATGTATGGTTAAGGGATTGATGGAGTAATGGAAATCATGGCAAGAATGCACATCGACTGAGAGAATGTGGCCCTTCTTAGCTTTATCTTAGCGGCTTCTGTTGTGTCTCCTTTCTGACAGGCAGGTGAAGACAGAACCAACCCCTCTGGTTACTTCTCGATACAACATCTTCCAGGACGATGAGTTTGATATATTCAGCAGGGACTCAGTGGACATGTCCCGGGTACAAAAAGGCAGGAGGTGAGTATCACAGCTACAATCAGTTCTTTTGGACAGGGTGGTATAAATGTCCATGGACTTACAGCAACAAATTCGATTAAGAAAATCCCATTGCAGTCCTCTGACAGTATATTTGTATGTCTGAGGCCAACTGGTAAAGTTATTTTCCTGATCACTTGTCCACAAGCAGCTAAGGCTAGAGATTTAGTTGGTTTTAACAAGAAAACATCATTGTCCCAATTTTTGGGCTGTGATCTCATTCTCGCTAGGAAATTAAAATGCAATAGTGCTGTGGCCTTTTTCTCTATTCAGCTTGTACCGTTTGATACTACAGCGCCATACTGCTTTTAACATCTGACTATGGTTTGGACTTTTATGTTTTCTTTTCTTTTCTCCATAAATTGCAAGGCCACTACTGTCACCAGTCTGAGCTCTGTGAGTCAGAAACGAGGCTAGGTAAAATTTGTTTCAAATTCAAGTACAAATATCAATAATGTCCATCTGGTTTGAAATCTAGCTCCAATAACACAATCTCAGTAATCTAGTTCCTCCACTAGGAGTTCCTGCCTCTGTTTCTCACATTGCTTAGCATGCAGTGCTGTGTCATGTACTTTGTTTGTTTAACCCAGTGCTTTTGGTATTACCCTCCGTTGATTCAGGTTGTTGGGGATTTTCGCCTCAAAAGCCCAACAGAGTGGATCGATGCGTTCAAGGCATTATTCAAACATTTCTTTTAAATCAACCAAGCCTGTGTGTGGACCTGTCTTTAGATCTATACATAGCTGGGGAATGAACGATCGATTTGTAAATTAAACCGTCTGGCTGTGGCAGCATCAGCTAAGTTTGCAGCTCCAAGAGTGTAACAAAGTCTTGGAGGAAAGATGGGTATGCTAATATCTTTTATTGGAGGAAAGTCAGTTCCCTCCTTAAGTCCAATCAGACTGGGATTTGCAGCAGCAAGTAATCAAATTATAGCTTCTTTTACTACAAATCCTACTCTGGCTTGGCTGTGTCAAGCTGTCCTGCATATAACAATCTGCTCTTTATACTCAAGAGAGTGAGGACCAACCTCAGGGCAGACTGTTAAGAACCAGGGCACAAACTACAAATTGGCTGAGTTCTACACTTCAATTTCACCAACCAGTTATCAGATGTAAACTCCTCAGGCTCTATAACAGCCTAAACATGAAGTCACAGACAGTCCCCTTGCTGCCAGGTAAGACTACCTTTGTGATAGATGGTCCCTTGCACCAAGTATCACAGCAATATGTAGGGCAGGTCCACACTTAAAATGCTGCATCAGTGCAGCTGCAGCACTTAAGTGAAGATGCTCCTACACCAATGGGAGAGCGTCTCCCGTTGTCATAGTTAATCCACCTCCCCGAGAAGCGGTAGCTATGTTGATGGGAGAAGCTCTTCCATTTGACATAGCGCTGTCTACGTGGTGGTGGTGGGTGGGTTTAGGTCAGTATAAGTATGTCACGCAGACTGTGGATATTTCACATCCCTGAACGACCTAGTTATAATGCTATAGGTCTGTAGTATTGACCTGGCCTTAGGCTGCTCCCAGTCCCAAAGGACCAGTTGCTTACCTCAGGTCAATTGCATTTTAGATCTCACACCAAAGACAACACTCATAGTCCATACTATAATAAACTATATACGGATTTAAGAAAAAAGGAAACATGAGAGTTATTTAAAAGGTTTCAAGCAGGGAAACGTAGGTGCACACAAACACAGGTGCACACAAATTAGTTCCAATCTTAAGTTTCAAAAAGTAGTAGAAGCTTCTATAATAAGCAAGATCTCTGCGTTCTTTAGGGCTGACCCATGCTGGGCATTGTGGTTCTTTTGCTGATGCCTAGTAATCCTTGCCTGCCCCCTGCCCTCTCCTCAAGTCACAGCAGCAGAAGTTAGGGGGTTTTATTCCCTTCCCCCGTCTGCTTTGAGCTGCTGCTTCCAGCGATGAACTCAGCTGGTGGGAGGAATTTACTTGCGAGACTCATCTTCCTGAAGCGGGAAGGGTGGAGAGTAAACAGCAAAGTTGTTGGTTCTGGTTTAACATTTCCCTCTGATCTGCCTGGTGTCAGTGGGCCTTCCTTGCGGGGCAGGACAGAACACCCTCTCTTGGAGACCAGCATTTCACACTAATCAGTGTCTCTCTTCTGTCTGAGACAAGGTGAGTAAGAAGTGGTCCAATATAAGGTATTACGTCACCCACCATGTCTCTCTAATATCCTGGGACCGACATGGCTACAACTACGTCTCTCCTGTCTGGTGACTTACACAGTTATCAAGGCTTACAGTGCAAATGCTCAAATATTACCTTCCAATCTGGGATACAGATGTTATAAGTGAGTCCAGCTATGTATTGGTCAGTATTGAAGCATGGGGATCTTGGCCTTAGTTGGCACCTGATCTGCCAGCATCACAGGCTGTCAAAGGAAATTGTTGCTTGCCTCGCTGGCCAAAATACCTACCTTTGAACTGTTTCACTACAGCTGGAAAATCCCCAGACTCAGGTTATGTCTGTGCTTGTACCATTACAGCAGCACAGCTGCAGTGGTGGTTTAAGTGTAGACATTTCCAGCAGTTGACAAGAATGTGTGAGGAACAGCGGCCGGGGGGGGGGAGGGGGGGAATAGTTTTACTTTGTGTAATGACCCAGCCACTCCCAGTCTCTATTCAAGCCTAAGTTAATTGTATCCAGTTTGCAAATTAATTCCAATTCAGCAGTCTCTCGCTGGAGTCTGTTTTTGAAGTTTTTTTTGTTGAAGAATTGCCACCTTTAGGTCTGTAATCGCGTGACCAGAGAGATTGAAGTGTTCTCCGACTTGGTTTTTGAATGTTATAATTTGTGACGTCTGATTTGTGTCCATTGATTCTTTTACATAGAGACTGTCCAGTTTGGCCAGTGTACATGGCAGAGGGGCATTGCTGGCAAATGATGACGTATATCACCTTGGTAGATGTGCAGGTGAACGAGCCTCTGATAGTGTGGCTGATGTGATTAGGCCCTATGATGGTGTTCCTTGAATAGATATGTGGACACAGTTGGCAACGACCTTCCTTGCAAGGATAGGTTCCTGGGTTAGTGTTTTTGTTGTGTGGTTGCTGGTGAGTATTTGTTTCAGATTAGGGGGCTGTTTGTAAGCGAGGACTGGCCTGTCTCCCAAGATCTATGAGAGTGAGGGATCGTCCTTCAGGATACGTTGTAGATCCTTGATGATGCGCTGGAGAGGTTTTAGTTGGGGGCAAAAGGTGACGGCTAGTGGCGTTCTGTTACTTTCTTTGTTGGGCCTGTCCTATAGTAGGTGACTTCTGGGTACTCTTCTGGCTCTGTCAATCTGTTTCTTCACTTCAGCAGGTGGGTATTGTCGTTGTAAGAACACTTGATAGAGATCTTGTAGGTGTTTGTCTCTGTCTGAGGGGTTGGAGCAAATGCGGTTGTATTGCAGAGCTTGGCTGTAGACAATGGATCGTGTGGTGTGGTCTGGATGAAGGCTGGAGGCATGTAGGTAGGCATAGCGGTCAGTAGGTTTCCAGTGTAGGGTGGTGTTTATGTAACCATCGTTTATTAGCACTGTAGTGTCCAGGAAGTGGATCTCTTGTGTGGACTGGTCCAGGCTGAGGTTGGTGGTGGGATGAAAATTGTTGAAATCATGGTGAAATTCCTCAAGGGCTTCTTTTCCATGGGTCCAGATGATGAAGATGTCATCAATGTTGCGCGAGTAGGGGCATTAGGGGAGGAGAGCTGAGGAAGCGCTGTTCTAAGTCAGCCATAAAAATGTTGGCATACTGTGGGGCCATGCGGGTACCCATAGCAGTGCCGCTGATTTGAAGGTGTACATTGTCCCCAAATGTGAAATAGTTATGGGTGAGGACACAGTCACAAAGTTCAGCCACCAGGTTTGCCGTGACATTATCGGGGATACTGTTCTGACGGCTTGTAGTCCATCTTTGTGTGGAATGTTGATGTAGACGGTTTCTTCATCCACAGTGGCCAGGATGGTGTTTTCTGGAAGATCACTGATGGATTGTAGTTTCCTCAGGAAGTCAGTGGTGTCTCGAAGATAGCTGGTGTTAGGATATAGATATTCAAGCCTGTCTGTAAAGGCCTATACTCTAAGAATTTAGGTGTATTCTTATCACTTGGCTAGTGATAGAGGTATAAAAGAAAGAAAGAATCAAAACCACTGTCTGCCAGTGTAAGGGCCTTCTCTTACTGTGGCAGTTTGTGGCCCTGTGCTTGGGCTCAGGCCTTTGGCTAAGCAGCAGAGGCAGCCATAAGCTGGGAAGCGACCGGTCACATCCTCACATTCCAAACTAGTCACATTGAAATAAGGTGCTATTGGGCTGTTAGGCACTATCAGGACAGGATTGTATTCCTATCACCTCCAGAGAAAGGGAAGTGCCTAGAAAATGTAAAAGGAAACTTAGTTTGATAGCATCCTGTCTGGCAAGAACTCACTTATCAATAGCTGGGATGTGAAATCCTCACTTCTGTATTGTTTTGTCATTATAGTTCCCACTTTGCTGTTGTTTGTCTGTATAATCTCTGTCTGGTTCTGTGATTGTTCCTGTCTGCTGTATAATTAATTTTGCTGGGTGTAAACTAATTGAGGTGGTGTGATATAATTGGTTACATAATCATGTTACAATATGTTAGGATTGGTTAGTTAAATTTCAGGAAAATGATTGGTTAAGGTATAGCTAAGCAGAACTCAAGTTTTACTATATAATCTGTAGTCAATGAGGAAGTGACTGGGTGTGGGTGTGGGTGGGCATGTGGGTGTGTGAGATGGGAACAGGGAATGGGGGTAAGAAAATTGGAATCATGTTTTGCTAAAGGGGGAGATGGGAACAGGGAATGGGGGTAAGAAAATTGGAATCATGTTTTGCTAAAGGGGGAAATGGGAACAGGGAATGGGAGTAAGGAAGTTGGAATCATGTTTGGCTAAGGGTAGGAATGGGAACAGGGACACAGGCGTAAGGCTCTGTGGTGTCAGAGCTGGGAAGGA